CTGTGGGTTGTTTCTCTTCCACTTCTTGCAACTAGAGCAGTATTCACTGTCTGAAATCGTGTGTTTGGATTAGTTTTCTTGCTTTCCCTTGCGGACGGTGTCGGGTGTTGGCGAAGACTTGTTTTGAGAAGTGGGCGCTGGTCAGATGGTGTTGAGCAGGTGCAGGCTGCTGCTCCTGGTCCGGAGTCTTCCGCGGCCCCCTGCCTGCAAGGTCAGCCCAGCCCCGGGCCTTGGTTCGCCTCTCTGCTTCCCAGCCTGCACCTCGCCTCCTAGGCAGACTGCTTTCTCTTCCTCTGCGCCTCACTCGGAGCCTTTGCTTACGCACGTGAGCAAAAGCAGTTGTGTTTATCAAAAACAGCTTTTACTGAGTGAAAGCAACATTCTTCTCACCTTCTTTCTAAACTCACTCTTTTCAGAAGCAATGAAAGTTAAATTTAAAAATAAATTGAAACCATTTTTCCAATCCTCGGGGTGTCCTGAGGCCCTGGCTTAGTGGCACTTTCCAGATGTGGGTCTTAATGTTGTTTTTACAGGGGGTGAAAGAGGCAGTTCTGTAATTACTACAGATATCTTTATGTTCTCACAGAAAACATAATCACTGGGTAATCTAGTAATAATTTTTGTGTTTAATCTGCAAAGTTAAGCTAACCAGTGGGCAGGTGGGTGTCCCCCAGGCCTCTGGTTCACCCTGAGTAGTGGGTTGACCTCAGGCATTTGGCTTTGGAGCATTCCCACTTTCCCAGCAAATCCGCACTGACCTCTGGAATTGAGGGGAATGAGCTTGAACTGTCCACAGTTAACTGCACACGGAGGTCCCCCCGCCTGTCGTGCACGCCCCGTGCTCCAGAGCCGTACCGGGCTGCCGCGGCGCTTACTAGAGCGCGCTCCGAGTCTTCAGGGCAGAGGGCGAGGAAGGCCCACTTTGGAGCTTCCCCTGTGTCCAGACAAGTTTCCATAGGGTCAGTCCTCCTCCCACACACGGTCCCATCTGTGGAACGGACGCCGGGCGCTCTGTTTGGTCCGTATTGCCACGGCGTCTGCAGCCCCTTCCTCCTTGGCGACTTTACAGAAGTAACTTGACTCCAGCAATCGACTGGAAGAGCAGATTGTGTTGCATCGGCATAACTGAAACAAGATTTTAATAGAGCGCGGATGTGGGCAGCGTCTCAGGTGTGGTCGGGTGGCCGCCAGCGCTGCGGCAGTGAGCCTGCCTGCCCCGTCCTTGCTCGCGGCCGTTTCCCTCCCCTTGCCAGCGGTGACTGTTTGCTGATGAGTATGCTCTTTTCTCCAGTTAGAACTGGAGACTGTTAAGAGTGTGGAAGGGGAATTTAGAGAAGATGTAGTCTAATCCCTTTCATTTACAGGTGAGAAGTGAAGACGTTTATTGCTGCGCTCACTTGTAGCTCAGACTGCACGCTTTATCCCAGCTCCCCGGAGACTGGCTCTTGCTGAGCCTGCCTGTGGGCTCTGAGCGCCCTTTGGCCTCCACAGACTCACAGAAACAGCAGCAGACTTTTCTTCTGTGTATTCCTGCCGTTCTACGCAGGCGCCTCGGACCGTCGGAGAACTCTCCCAAACCAACAAACAAAACTCTCTAGAGGAAATTATGTAATTTTCCTCATTGGTATTCCATCGTTGACAAATTTTCACTCAGGAGATTCTTCCCAGTCCTTGGTCCCACCTGGGAGGCAAATGTCACATCCCAGTCACCTGAGATATCCACGGACAGTCAGGCAAACTGGAGTGAGCTGGTATCATTCACTGTGTCATCACAAGCAGCAGGTGGCAGGGTGGTTCTCAGAGTGTCCCCTGCGCTTCTTTATGCTTGATTTTCGGTTATCATCCCTGGCCCTGAGTGAAGGGAGGATAAGGTTCCTGTTCCCTGGGCTGGTTTGCAGTGAGGACAGAATCCTCACTGACCCCAAGCGCTGGTTCCTTTGTGGGAGTCACAGCCCCTCGCCGAGCCTGTCTCCTCAGTGTTGAGACAGATGACACGGTGCCTCTCATGGGCTGGCTGGCGGGACGCAGTGCAGCGATGCCTGGCAGGCCTGGCCTGGTGCTGGCGCGTGGGTGGCTGCTGGGGCCGAGGGCCGTTCCATGGTAGGGAGGTCGGCTCAGTAGGTGCTGTCCTTTCAAAGGCTGGCTGCGACCCGAGCCGGAGGAGCCGGCAGGTGTGGGTTGGGACATGCGGGTGGTGACTCTGAATAGTGGAGCTGGGCTGGGAGGGGGACAGGGAGGAGGGGCAGGAGGGCACTGCAGTGGGGTGTGAACGGGGAGTGGGAAGGTGCCAGGAATCCCTTCACTGACCCCTGGCCCAGGGCAGCTGGTGCAGAAGGGACAAATGTCCACCTGCTCCCTGTGTCTCACATGGTCCTCGAGGACTGGCCTCGCAGCTGAGTGGAACAGAATTGGTGGCGTGATGAGGCACACGGGGTTGACTGACTAGGCCTTTGTGGCCATCTGGGCGCTAACACCGGTGGTGATCGCGTTTCCGTGGGGACGTGGCACTGTGTCCAGACGGCTGAATTTCTGCCACACCTTATTCATAAACCAGGGATTGTCTGATTTTGGTTTGTGGGGTTAGCCTTCTAGAGCTCATCAGAATAGACAGTGCAGACTATTATTTCACCGAGGGTGACGCCGACAAAGAGAATAATGGCATCACTGGTGAACGAGGGCACTGCCTGACTGTGGGGAAGACCAGTGAGGTCCCCGCAATGAGCGGTGCACACTTGGGGGCAGGGCCAAGGCCACGCGTGCATTCGCCCGTGTTGCGCAGACGTCAGCAGTCTGTCCACTCCTGCTGCTTTGTGATTTCTAGGTTTTAAATTTCAGCAACTGTTTCTTGTTACAGAGTACGGTGTTTGCGAAAACTTACGGAAACTGGAGATCACGGGCGTGTCCTGTCGGGACGTCTACGCGAAGCGTGAGTAAATCTGTTATCGTCCAGTGTTCACTTTGAACCAGAAGTGGACGGTACACAGCAACGATGAATGATGAAGGCAGTTTGGCCCCTGGTTCCGTTTTCTCAGACACTAACTTACACTCACAATCTACATTTTAAATACAGCACTGGTGGTAACCACCAGGATTGGGGCACCGAGTCATTAGCTTTTCTGTGCATCGTGGGTACGGCATCTCTTGCTAGGCATCCCGGACCCCTGGATCTGAGAAAGGGGGACCGCACAGCAAACAGCTCTGGTGCTCCTGGCGCTGCCTGCTGCTCTGGGCCTGGGCCTCCAGCCCGGCGGGACGCGGGCGGATGATTCCTGGGTGGCCTTCTCCATCCAGCCGCTCAGTTACAGAGAGGCTGCACCTGCCCCACCGAAGCTCCACCTTCCCCTCAGTTTTCCTTGAGCAGGTTGAGCCTCCGATGCCCGATTTCTTTTTTCCCTGGATCCTTTGCTTTCTGGAGTCATGGGCGACATTCACGGAGTACTCAGCGTCCTCAGCCCCAAACTGCCTCCCCAGCCGGCCTTTCTTCAGCACCAGGATCGTTTCCATCTCTCGCTCCGTGGATGAAGCTGTCGGCTGCTCTGGGTGGTCAGTGGTTTCCATGGGTGTCTCACGGAGCACGTTTTCCTCTGCTGACAGCTCTTTGAGTTTGTTAAGCCATTTGACCCGTGTTGTCTCAAAGCAGCGTGAAGACAGATTTCTAAGTGTTGTAAGCACCAGCAGTAACACCCCGCTGGGGACACGGGTGTATGAGTCTGCCCAGGTGTTAGTGCCACCTGGAGCAGCGTGCACAGGTACAGCCCATCTTGGCTGGGGGGCAGAGGGGTTGCTGGGCCCCGCGTTCCACTGTCCTGTGGGAGAGGCTGTCGGGCACATTGGGCTTGGGACGGTGTGGCTGCGGCAGAGCAGGAGTGGGTGCAGGAGAGGGGACACCGGGAAATGACAGGGCCTCGCTCTGTCGCCCAGGCTGGAGTGCAGTGGTGTGGTCACAGCTCACCGCAGCCTCCAACTCCGGGCTCAAACCATCCTCCCTCTATAGGTGTGTGCCACTGTGCCTGGCGGGAGATTTTTCACTGCTGATTCTTGACCCCTTGAAAATTTATGCAAAATGTAGAGAGAATAATCATATAATCTGCACCAGCCAAAGCGAATTTTAGTTTTCACTTTAACAATAGAAGAACTATGTTTTTGTGAATTTGCTTTGAAAGGCACGTCCAGGGGAAAATTACTTAGCTTTGGGAACAGGTAGCAGAAGAAAATCAACTGTAGTTCCTGGAACAGCTGGTTGAGTCGGCCAGCCTTGGTTCAGCGGCAGCGAGGTCTGACGTTGAGTTAGCAGGCAGAGAAACGTCGTCCTTTATCAAAAAACAAAACAAATGCATGGTGACACTGGGTGAGCTGAGTGTCTTATGGGGCAAGGATTCCCTGGATGGTCATCCCAGATACCTGTTGGCCATGACACCCACCCTTCCCCTTCTGAGGCCCAGTGAGCTGTGGCAACATAGCGAGACTTGTCTCTAAAACAATTTAAAAAATAAATTTGCTGGGTGTGGTGGTACATGCCCGTAGTCCCAGCTACTTGGGAGGCTGAGACAGGAGGATCACTTGAACCCGGAAGTTCGAGGCTGCAGTGAACTATGATGATGCCGCTGCACTCCAGCTTGGGTGATAGAGCGAGACCCTGTGTCCAAAGAAAGATTAGAAATAAAAATACAGGCCAGGCATGGTGGCTCACACCTGTAATCCTAACATTCTGGGAGGCCAAGGCAGGAGGATTGCTTGACCAGAAGTTTGAGGCTGAGGTGGGAGGTTCGCTTGAGCTCAGGAGTTTGAGACTAGCCTGAATGAGAGAGAGACCCCAATCTCTACTAAAAATATAAAAATTAGCTGGGCGTGGTGGTGCACATCTGTAGTCCCAGCTACTCGGGAGGCTGAGGCAGGAGGATCACTTGAGCCCGGGAGTTTAGGGTTGCTGTGAGTTATGATGCCACTATACTCCAGACAGGGCGACAGAGCAAGACTCTGACTCACAAAAAAAAAGGAAACAAAAAACAGTCTTGAAAAAGGACCCATCCTTAGCCCTTTCCCTGCTGTGTCTATTCAGGTATAAACCCGCGTGTGAAGTCGGGACGTTTTATGAAAATTCTCCCCGATTACGAGCACATGGAGTACAGAGATGTGTACACCTGCCGTATGTACCTCCCGCTGGCTTTCGCTTCTGCGGCAGGGAGCACGCCTTGAACCCGCATGAACAGGGTCTGAGCACAGACCGGACTGCTGGGTCCCCAGAGCAAGCTGACCTGGCTTTCGCTGTGTTTTCACTTGGCCGTGGTGTCGCTCTGTGGTTTGGCCATGACAGAGATCACGTCAGAGCGCAGACCCCAGGGAAGCTGTATGTGGGTCGGGTTTCTCCAGCAGCTTCTGGGCTTTGGGTAGCACCGATCGAGATCACTCTGTGGTGCACATTTTAACGTTGGTTGTTTATGGAGGAAGTGACTGCAAAAAGTCATGCAGAGGCAGAGAGGAGAGAACAGTGGAAGCTTCAAAATTTTTCTAAGATGAAATGTGAGTAGTTGACTTCTAAGCTTTATTAGTTAATCACATCTTAATAGCATATATGATTTAAAAAAAATCACATACTCACAGTGGACAAACGCAGGTAGCACCAGTTCATTCTCTAGAACCAAGTCCCTCTTTCATCTGGAAATTTTTCTAAGCCACAGTCTTAGGACGTTAACGCTGTGGTCATTGCTTTAGCTCAGAGTGGTTGGTGGAGATGGAGACGGTGAATTTCAGCGGTGAAGACAGAGACCGGAAACACCTGCCCGCACTGACGGGCCTGGACCCCCCCTGCCTCCACCGCCCTGCGGGTCCCTTCAGCCTGTCAGAGTGCCCAGGTCTCAGTGTGGCCCGCTGGGAGCACACCCACTTGCGAGTTTTATAAATACCCAATTCCTGACAAATCCTGCCAGGAGCAGAAAGAATCAGAGCAGTTCACAGAATTTTTCCCAGCATCCCGTTGGAGCCTGGGCAGACAGCTGCAGCTTGATAACTGGAGCCCGTGTGACGTAGGGGACAGTCGCGAAGTTACTGCAGGGATGCCTGGTGTGTTCAGCGTGCTTTGGGTGGCGTCTGAGCTGCCTGCACAGCGACTAACAAACCTGCCTTGTGTGTGAACAGGCGCGGAGGTGACCTGTCTAGCCGGGTGGAGACCGAGGGCAGCAGACACGTTGGGGGCTGCGTGAACAGCGTCCGGGGCGGGGAGGGGCTGAGACTGCAGGGGAGGCGCGGGCACGTTTGAAGACATCAGTGCTGTCCCTTCCCAAACCTTCTGGAAATAGCCTCTCTAGAACATTTTGTCATCGACGACCAGCTCCTGGTGCTTCGCAGTCGATGCAGTGCCTTCTCCAGCCCCGCGGGAGAGCACCGCTGATGGAGCGAGACCTGATGAGAACAATCGATCTCACGGTGCTGCCTGGAACCGCCTGGCCTGGGCTTTTCAGTACAAGTGGACAGTCACTCAGTGACATCATCCCTCTGTCCCAGGGGTGTGCTGGGGGAGCTTTCCGCAGCTTCCAAGGGGTAGACCCCAGCTGCTGCTGGGGAGACTTTGAGCAGTGCACTTTGAATTTGAAAATGACCGAGTGTAGCCATAGGGCACTAGGTCTTTTTTTTTTTTTTTTTTTGAGACAGACTCTGTTGCCCTGTCTAGAGTGCCGTGGCGTCAGCCTAGCTCACAGCAACTTCAAATTCCTGGGCTCAAGCGATCCTCCTGCCTCAGCCTCCTGAGTAGCTGGGACTACAGGCATGCGCCACCATGCCCGTCTAATTTTTTTTCTATATATTTTTAGTTGTCCAGCTAGTTTCTTTCTATTTTTTTTGTACTTTTAGTAGACACGGGGTCTCGCTCTTGCTCAGGCTGGTCTCGAACTCCTGACCTTGAGCGATCCACCCGCCTTAGCCTCCCAGAGAGCTAGGATTGCACGCGTGAGCCAGCGCGCCCGGCTGGGTGCTAGGTCTTGATGGTGGCGCTCCAGGTTGCTCTAAGCAGACACAGGATTGGGGGCAGCATCACCTTCACATGGTGAGGCGATGGAGGGCCACTTTTGACCCTCAGGTGACTCGGGCACTTGGCCGAACAGAGCAGTCTGCTGGGAAGGCTGCCTGCGCAGCCCCAGCCTGCCAGGCGGAGCTGGTGACACTGCGGGGACCGAGAGGCAGGGAGGAGGTGGTTGGGAAGTGTGAAAACAGAAAGGTGCTCTGTGCCTTCCCTCCCGTGCGGAGCGGCGCCGGTGGGCCGTGCGGAGCGCCTGCGCAGTCCATCCTCTGCGTTTGGTTTTGCCAGTGTGCCGGTCTCATGCTTCGTCATTCTGCGTTCCTTCCTGTTGCCAGCCGGGAGTTAGCTGGCAGGGCCAGGATGGAGTGTTTCCTGTTAGCGATTTTAACGCCTGGAATTACAGGAATGTGTCCACCCCAAAAGATTATTCTAACGTTTTCCAGGCTCTACTGTTGGGCCAGATCTGCGGTCCTCAAAGTGTGGTCCCAGGCCAGCAGCATCAGCATCTTTGGGGAATGTCTTGTTAAAATGCAGGTTCTCTGGCTCCTCCCAGGCCTGCGCGGCAGGACTCTGGGCTGAGCCTGGCGTCTCTGGTAACAGGCCCTCAGCCGGGGTTCAAACGTGCACAGTCCCAGCAGCTGGGAATCTATTACCAGATTTTACAACAGCATTTAATAAGAGGGCAGCATTTTTCTTATTTACATTCTCATTTTTTTAATCATGTGTGTAATTTTTGGTACTAAACTGCATAAGCTGGGTGCAGTGGCTCACGCCTGTAGTCCCAGCACTCTGGGAGGCTGAGGCAAGGAGGATCGCTTGAGCCCAGGAGTTTGAGGTTGCTGTGAGCTACGATGACACCACTGCACTTTGCAAGCCCATGTGGCAGAGTGAGACCCTGTTTCCAAAAAAAAAATTTTTTTTTTTTAAAAAACTGCCTGATGTTTAGATCTTTGAGCCAGTGTCCTGGTTCCTAGTATCTTAGCCTCTGAAGCAGGTGGTGGGACCAGAGGGCAGAGTGTGGAGGGGCGGGGTAGGGGTCAGGAAGAGGGGCCCTGCCCGCCACTGGAGGCTCCCTCTTTACTCCCCTCTGGTCAGAAGGGCCGGAACACCTGCTGCTTGGGGTTGGCGGGAGGGTCACACACGAAGGGGCACCTGAGGCCCTCAGTGCCCCTGCAGGAGTGAAGTGCTGAGTGAATGGTAGCTAAAACCAAACAAGACGGAAATGCAGTTGTTTCCTCTTCCTGTGTAGTTGTTTAACCTCATAGATCGATTGTCAGGGAAGCGTTTATTTTTAACTGACAAGTAATAGTTGTATGACTACATGTTTGTGGGGCGCGCTGTGATGTTTTGACGTCTGTTTACACTGTGGGTGATTAACTTGCTCTGTGCCTCACCCTGGCTGCGCTGCACGGCCACCACAGGGCTTCTCAGAAACCCGCTGCCTTTTCACTGTCTCCATAGTCTTGCCTTTTGCAGAACGTCATAGAATTGGAATCATACAGTATGTGGACTTTTTCGATTGGCTTTTTTTTTTTTTTTTTTTTTAAGAGACTGTCACCCAGGCTGGAGTGCAGGGGTGTGATCACAGTTCACTGCAGCTCGAACTCCCGGGCTCAAGCAATGCTCCTACCTCAGCCTCCTGGGTAGCTGGGACTATAGACGTGCACCACCACGCCCAGCTAATTTAATTTTTTTTGTAGAAACAGAGTCTCACTCTGTTGCCCAGGCTGGGCTGGAACTCAGGGCTTCGAGCAATCCTCCCACCTCAGCCTTCCAAAGTGCTGGGGTTACAGGTGTCAGCCGCCATGCCTGGCCTTCTTTCTTTGTTTTAGAGATGAGGTCTTGCTGTGTGCCCAGGCTGGATGCAGTGGCTCTCCACAGGCGAGATCGCGGCACACTACGGCCTCGAACTCTCGGGCTCCAGTGATCCTCCCGGGAGCCGCAGCCTGGGAGGATCGGGATTCCACACGTGAGCCACCACAGCCGGCGATTCGCCTCTTCTGAGTGAATATATTTGGTTTTGTGATAGCCTTGCTTTAGGAGGACTCATTTGTGGTGTGGTTTAACTTTTTAGAGCGTGTAGGACACTGGCTTTGCTTTGACACACCCGTGAAGATGCTGGTCTCTGGGCACGAGGAAGGCGCTCCACCCTCCGTGCACCTCCTCTGTCGGACTCCGGGCAGAGGGCTTCCCCAGCCTTGCTTGAGTCCCCATGGTGGGAAGCTCATCACTTTATAGGAAACTCACTCCATTCAGGCTTCCCTAAGACAGTGTCGTTCTTAGAAATCTCTGGAGACCTGTAGGTGAGGTTCGGTGCACGTTTGTTCAAGGCTCTCCCGCAGGCCTTTCGCGGCGGCCTCTCCACGATGCCTCCCTGTCCCGTGCCGTGCCCGGTTTGCCGCAGCGCGGGGTCTGACGCGAGGCCTTCTCTCTCTCTGGCAGTGCTTCACCGGTACAGACACATTCTGGGACTGTGGCAGCCGGACATCGGGCCCTACGGGGGACTCCTGAACGTGGTGGTGAGTGTGAGGGCCCCGCGGGCGGCGCCTGGTGGGGAGGAGCTAAGCGACTCTTGGACCAGGGAAATGAGCCTGCTTTGTCTGTCCCCCTCTCGCCCCCCCAGTCTGCACCTGACCTCCGCACGCACCTCCGCAGCCCTCTCTGCCCAGCCACAGTGGGCGGCGGCCTCTGGGAAGGGGTGGAGGCCGCCCTGCTCCTGTCCCTTCTCTTCAGGGTCTGGGGCCTCATCTCTGGGTGACCACGGTGGTTCCCTGGTATCTTTAAGCAGCATTTAGAAACCTTCGGTGGGTTCAGCTTTGTGGCTGGTCTCAGCAGGAGGGTCGGTGTGACCCTGGCTCCTTGGTTGGAACTGGAAGCAGAAGTCTTCCTGTGTGTGCTTCTCAGTGGCTTGCCTATTTGTTTTAAAAAGCTGTTCGTTTTTGGCCCACTGAAACAGTCAGGTGTTCTGACACTTCTGGGTGTTGACAGGTGTTGCTTACGGAGCAAGGTCACTGCCCTCTGCTGTCCCCTGTGGTGCAGGTGTCCCCTGTGGCCTGCTGGCTTGCCTTCTCTCCCTTTTTATTTTTTAGAGTCAGGTCTCGCCCTGTCGCCCGGTCTGGAGTGCAGTGGTGCCGTCGAACTCCTGGCTCAAGGGGTCCTCCTGCCTTGGCCTGCTAAAGTGCTGGGAGTGAGGCCTGAGCCACTGGCCCTTTCTTTTTCCCTTGAGCAGAAGGCCAGTGCCCTGGGGGCGTGTGCGGTTAGACCTGAGGTGTCACTGTAGCTGACGCCACAGTAAAAACGAAGTGAGCTGCCCTTGCAGGGAGCTGGCATTTAGATTTTTGACCCCTTCTTTTGTGCACTTAGAGGACAGGGAGCCGAGTCGAGGGCTCAGCCATGTGCGCTGTTTAACCATAGCAGGCCTCACGGTGGCCTTGCGCCGGCCTTGGGCAGCTCCGTGCAAGTTCTGGGGCCTGGCGTCCGCAGGTCACTGGGTGACTGGTCACTCTGTGCATGTGGCTCACCAGGCGGGGCTTGGTGGGGACAGACGCTGCTCATTCTCTGTGACTCGGCGGAAGCACCCACCGAGAAACACACTTAACGTCGATTGCATTTAAGGTCACTTGGGATGAGCCTTGCTTTTAGAATGTTCCTTCCGGAGACAAGCCAGGCAGCTCTCAGCGCGGGCAGATTGCTTTCTTTTCTTTTAGTCGGGAGGGTGATAATTGTTTTTCTTGCCGACAGTGAGTAACAGAGTTAAAGCAGAAAACAAAAACGAAAAGAAGCAGCCTCTGAAAAGCGGGGTAATTAGGGAAATGAGCCCGTGGAAGAGCAGCAGCAGCTCGCTCTCGTCTCAGACTGACCGGCTGCAGAGACGCGCACGTTCTCTCCTCGGGCTTCGGGGCTGGGGCGGTGGGTCCAGCTCTCTGAGAAGCGGGTGGCTCTGGTCAGGCGCTGTCCGGGCCGGCATGGGGCTGCCCCTGCTTTCACATGCTCTCCCTCGACACCCAGGGGGGACACAGGGACAGGACGGCAGGTTGCACACCTGCAGGTGTCGCCTCCTGGGCTCCCGTCCTCGCAGGCGCCTCACTCCCGGCACCTGTCCCTCCCTGAGCTTTTGTTTTGAAGCATTTTAAAACAAATCCAGGCCTGTGGCGGTTCGTCCCTCTGTTCCAGCATGGCAGGTGTTTCCCGACCTGTCCCCCAGGTCGCCGTCACACCTGACTAAAGTAGCATCGACTCTCAGTGTTCCCTGGCACCCAGCTTCCCAGGCTGTTTTCAGCTTCCCAGGCTGCCTCACAGCTGCGTTTTGATGTCGGCTTGTTCGGACCAGGCAAACGGGGCCCTCGCGCTGCGTTTGTTTCGTCTCCTGAGCCTCTTCCCTGTTGAGAGAAGCCCCTCCGCTTCCTCCGTGAGCTCAGTGCCCCAACTGGGGGTCTCACGTCGTCTAGCTCGCTCCCCTCCCTGCTGTGGAGCTGGAAGTCGGCGCCGAAGCGCTCGCTCAGGTTCGGGTCTGGCTCTTTAGTTGACACGCCCGCCCAGCACCTCAGAGGTGGGGTGTGCGCTGCCTGCCACCGCCGGGCAGGAGACGGGGCACGCACACGGGGCCGCCGTCGCTCCGCCCACCTGAGCCTGCGCGTGGCCCCCTGCCCACCTGCTGCAGGTGGACGGCCTGTTCATCATCGGCTGGATGTACCTGCCCCCCCATGACCCGCATGTGGATGACCCGATGAGATTCAAGCCTCTCTTCAGAATCCACTTGATGGAGAGGAAGTCTGCCACGGTGGAGTGCATGTACGGCCACAAAGGGCCCCACAACGGCCACATCCAGGTGCGTGGGAGCCTGGGCCTCCCTTAGACCCAGCGTGCCGGGTGTCCGTGCAGGGGCCAGCCAGGCGTGCTGTGGACCGGTGCCACAGCGGGTGGGAGGGGAGGGAGGTTCTGCCCTGGCCCACTGCGCATTGCTGGTGCTGTCTTGGTGAGGCGGAACTCCTCGGACTCACTCTGGACGCTCCGACCATCCATACTGGGTCAGAACCACTGGTTCTTACAGCTGCCGTTGCTCTGTGTCTTTTCTCCTCTTTGCAAGAGTATCGGCTCGGAACAAAGAACTCTGCTCCGACGGGGCCTGGCAGATGGCGCCCCAAGGAGCACCGTGTTACCCCGCACACTGTGCCAGACACAGCCCCCGTGCCGCCTCCGAGTCGCACTGGGAAGTCGCAGACTCCCCTCTGGGACGCGTGGCCGCCGCCTCCTGCTCTGGGAAGGGCGGTTCTGCACTGCCTCTGGACGGCCATTTTGGTGGCATCTTGGGCATCTGTGGGTGGGTTTGGTGGATGTAGGTGAGGGAGGGGTGGTCGTGGCCACCCCGTCATGCTGTGACTAACTGTTCCTCGATGTCCTTTTTCCTTCTATTGTGAACATTCAAGATTGTGAAGAAGGACGAGTTCTCCACCAAGTGCAACCAGACGGACCACCACAGGATGTCTGGCGGGAGGCAGGAGGTGAGCGGGCCTGCGGGGGGCGGGGCCCTGTGAAGACACGCGCACCTGCCCTTTGCTCTCCGTGGTGGCTGACCGGGCCTCCCCTCAACGAGGTCGAAGGGTGCGAAATTGCCAGCAGGCAGCCTGCAACATGGCCGTTTCTTGTGGTGCAGCCTGACGTTGTCAGTGCAGAAAACGCATCTGACGTGCTGTTAGCAGCAGCACCGAATGGGCGTGTGTGCGCGAGTGCGGGTCGTTGGTCCCTGCCGCCCCTCGGAATGAACCAGACAGAAGCGGCTGTTTCCTTAATTGGCCTCCTTTGCCCCTGGCGGGAGCATCACTCCTGAGGGGCTGCTGGGAAGCTTGTTTGTGCGAGTTGCAGGGAGAGCCAGGGGCTGTGTTTGGGGCTTCTGTGTTTTCCCTCCTTGGAACAGGCCAGCGGAGGGTTCCGGGTCCTGGCAGGGCGGCTGGTGAGCCTGTGTGCTGGGCTTTCTGCGTCTGCCCGACTGTTTTCACGTTGCCCTTGAGCTGTGGTTTTCTGAGGTCCCAGTCACACTGCCATTTCAAATAGTTTTAAAAAGACCTTGAACTTGTAAAATATAGGATACTCGTAGCTTATAGTCATTTGTTGGGTACACCTTCCTCAGCTAGTTTCTCATTTTTTCTGGTGGTTTCCCCGCTAGCCAGAGAGCTGCAGGGAGAGCTGAGATGAGCAAGGTGTGTGTACGCGGAGTCCGGTGAAGGTCAGTGAGTTCTGTTTTCTTGCGTGGATGACACGTGTGGACGACAAATGATGGGAATGCTTTTCATTTGTGACACTGTCATTTTACATGTAGTCATACATGCAACATGTATGTGATTCCTGCAGTTCACATTTAAGTGAAAAATGTCGACGTATTTTCCAAGAATAGAAACTCCTCAGCTGTTGAGATCTTAAAGAAAGCCATGTGTTTCTGGCGCTGCATGCCGTGGGATCCAAACAAGTTCCCGTCAGCTGACTTCCACGTGTGGGTGCACGGATTCTGACATGGAACAGTGTTTTTCTGATTGTAAACGTGGTAACACGCGCTCCTCGTGAGAACTGGAAAAACGCCCGGGAGTTAGGGTGAGAAAGATGCTTTCTTGGAATCTTGACATTGGTGGTGAGTTGGTGTTTCTGTCCTTCTGAGCGAGGCTGAGAACAGTGCCCCGTGTTCAGGACCTTTGCGGTTCCTTGGCTGTGAGCTGTCTGTTAATATCCCTCTGTTTCTGGGTGGTGTTGGTATGTTTCGAATTGATTCATAGGACCCCTTTATCTATTAGGAAATCTAGGTATGAGTTGCAAATTTTTTTGCCTTATTGATTTTTTTTGAATTCTATGGAATTTTTAAATTTTTATATCAAATATATCATTTCCTTAAAAGTCTCTTAGCATCATCTTAAAAATCCCTTCCTGGCTGGGTATGGTGGCTCATGTCTGTAATCCTAGTGCTTTGGGATGCTGAGGCAGCAGGATCGCTTGAGTCCAGGAGTTCAAGACCAGCCTGGTAAGACCCATCTCTACAAAAAAAAAAAAAATAAAACAAAAGCATTAGCTTGGTGTGGTGTTGTGCGCCTGTAGTCCCTGCTACTTGGGAGGCTGAGGTGGGAGGATGGCTTGAGCCCAGGGGTTGGAGGCTGCAGGGAACTGTGATGATGCCAAGGCACCCTACCCAGGGCAACAGAGCGAGACCCTGTCTCAAAAAAAAAAAAAAAAAATCCCATCTCCCACTCTGCTGTTATGTTCACAGATGAGCTCGCGTTTATTTTCTCACGTTCATATCTTTGGTTATTTGGATTTATCCTGGTGTGAAACGCGAGGCTCAACCCTGTGCTTCCGTGGGGTCCTGCTCGGTTATCCTCACGCTGGCTGTGAACGAGCCACGTTTTCTCTGTCTGTGTGAAATGCCGTCTCTGCCCTAACTTGCCCTGTGCGTGCTGAGCTGTGATCCGTCCGTCTACGCGTAGGTGCCGCGCTGTTCTAACCGTCGTAGCTCTGTTCACTGTGTTGTACGCCGTAGGGCCAGGCGGCCGCGTGCCGCTTCCGTTTTGGAATTTTCCTGGCTCTTCTCTTGTGTCTCCCACGTGAACTCCAGAATCAGCTGCTTCCCAGAAGCTGCCTCGCAGCGTCGCTTCTTTCAACTGGAGTCACGTCTCGCTTTGTGCGTCGTCGGTGTTTGGGGAACCGTCGTCGCGTGGCGTCGAGACGTCCCGTCTGAGACTCCGCGTGCCTCTGCTTGGCAGACAGGCTTCGCGTCGGTGTTTCTCCGCGGGGCACTCGTGTTGTCTTCAGGGAGACCCGCGCGCGTTACAAAGCACGTTCTTCAGTTTGTTCTCTTGCCGCTGCCGAAAGGGCTCCGGTGCCTCTCTCCACCCGGTGATTTCATAGGCAGAAGCCGTCGCACGTTAATGTGGCGCCCGCCCGTCTCGCTGAATTGCCTCTCGTTTGTCGTCGTTCCTCACTGGATTATCTTGAGTTTTCCAGGGTCGTAGTCGTTATCTGCAGATGATGGTATTTGGTGTTTTCCTTTCCAGTTTTTGTATCTTTAACGTTGCCCTCCTGTGAAGTGTGTCACCTTGGCCTCCAGAGCCACCCTCACAGTGCTGGTGACGGTGGCGCCCTGGTCCTGCCCCTGGCAATGGCGGCCGTGGTTCCTGTGTGGTGCCGTCGGAGGCAAGATACACACCATGTAGCGTTAGGGACAGACTCACCCACTCGTGTTTCGTTAAGGGGACTTTGTGTTATGCTTTAATCGAGAATAGGTTCGAAATTTCCCGAATTTTTAAAAAGGCATTTATGGAAACCATCGGGTGATTTTTGTCCTAATCTAGTAATGCAGTGACTTACATTGATTGATTTCTAGTATTGAACCGTTCTGAAGTCTTGGGAAGAAACCTCGCTGGATCTCAGTGTGTGGTTGCTGGGCGCTGTTTGCTGTTATTTCGCGTTTTTGCAGTGAGGAATGAATGTGCTCTGATATTTTTTGTGCTATCTCTGTCTTATTTTAGTGGCAGTATTTTGCCAGCTTCTAAGAAGGGGAAGCTTTTTGTCTTAGTCTGTCTTGTGCTGCTGTAACAAAATATGACAGACCAGGTAATCTATAAAAAACAAGTTTCCAACACGCGAACTTTGGGGGACACATTCCAACCGCAGCACCGTCTTTCCTTCTGGGCCTCGGGGTAGTCTAAGTAGGGTTCCATTAAGCAGGTAGCGCCCCCCAGTAAAGCCTCTGGCCCAGTATGTTTCGAGGATGGGACATGCAGTGTCCCCACGACGTGCTGATGTTGTTGTCCTCACCGGCATTCCTGCTTCTCCCCGGACGTCAGAGGTGCTTGTCCGTCCCCCCTTGCTGAGGTGAGGTGTGGCCTTTGGTTGCACCTGACACTGTCGCCTCTGGACAGAGCCTTTGGTGGCCTGTGTGACCTCCCCACAGCACTGCTGCCTGGCTCGGCCATGGCAGACGCTGCACAGGCCAGAAGCCGCGAGGAGGAACCTTTTGTTCTGCACTGCTGAGGTGTGGCTGGTGTGGCTGGCGTGGCTCCCTGACCTCGCCCGTCCTGTCCTTCCGTTGTGGGCTCTCTGCCCTGCCACAGCAGGGACGTTCACGGTGTCCATCTTGGCTGGCCTGCGTCGTCTTAGCAAGGGCGTGCCCGTGGGAACTCCGGTCTGTCCCTTCCCATCCCCTGCTGCTGGCCGGGCCGGGGCCCAGCCTTGTCCTTTGTCTCCTTTTTCTGTTGGTCTCTTCTAGCCTCTGGTCTTCGCGTACATGGAAGACTGCGTCACTCCCAGTCACCAAGCCTTCCTTCCTTGTCCCCAGCGCCCCTCTGTAGCCTTGAGTCTGCCTTGGACAGGGCACGGCCTAGACATCCCCCTGGACTCGGGGCTTCTGCCGGGCCGCAGAGAGTTGACGGGTCAGGCGGGGCTGCCACCGTCCCCAGACGGCAGGGCTGGGCTGGGAAGGTTCTGAGCCCCCCATCAGGAGAAAGCAGCTGTGTCCCTCTGCGTCGGCAGCTGCCCTGGCTGTGCCATCCAGCGGGACTTGCCACCCGGCCCTGCACCGTCTTCGCTGCTTTCCTCTCGAGAAGTGCGAGGAGTCGGAAGGACAGGGCTTGTCTGTCGATTTGTTCTGGAAAGTCCTCTCTCCTCCCGCAGCTCAGTCTTTCAGACCAGAGAGCAGCGGGGGTCATCAGGAGAGCTGCTTTTTGGGAGGAGGGCGTGCCAGGAAGGCTGGCCATGGTGACACATCTGGTTTTGAAATTCGAGGTAAAAGATGGAGCAGGGGACTCGGGACAGCCCTGTGCCTGGTGGCCGAGGAGCAGAGGAGTCCTGGCTGCTGGCGAGCTCGGCGGGGCCGGGCTGCGGGGCACCCTCTTCACATCTGTGGGTCAGCGCAGTCTCTTTGGCACCTCAGCCTCTGCGTAGGGTGGGGGGGCCCATCCCTGCCCTGCACTTGCCTCTGCCCCGGGCTCCGTGGCCCACGGGCCTGCTGCTGGTGACAGAGCCTGTCACGGGGCCCCACCCTTCTTGCTGGCAGCCACCTCTGCCGGCTGCTCGGCGATAAGCAGGTCCCCGGCCCTCCCAGTCCTGGAGCCCGAGCTGCCTCACCGCAGATCTGAGCTGGGAGCTTCGGGCGGGAGGATGGGCCGTGTTACCAGCACCTCAGAGGCCAGCAGGCTTGTCACTCAGCCGTGTAGGGCTGCTGTGAAGATGAAGGTGACGATTGCGCGTAGTGAGCAAGCCCTGGTGGATACTAAGTTTGTTGTCTTACGTGTCCCAGACTCTCTGTGTGCTCCTTGTGCATGTGTGTCTTGCCTGATAAGGTGATTTTATTTTATTTTTTTTTTAAAGAGATGGTCTCTTTGTCGCCCAGGCTGGAGCGTAGTGGTACAATCACGGCTCACCGCAGCCTCCAACTCCTGGGCTCAAGCAATCCTCCTGCCTCAGCCTCCCGAATAGCTGGGACTATGGGCACATGCTGCCACGCCCGGCTTCTTATAAGACAGTTATGTAATAAACATACTTCAGAGATCTTTGTTCTGAGTAATTGGTCCTGACGACTGTGACCTTTTCACGCACGGTAAATAAGATCATGACTATACACAAGTTGTCATCTTGATGGTATTTAGTTTACATCTAATTATTCACTGTGGTAACACTGAAATCTTCATTCATTACACTGAGTTACTTTTGTTTTTAAACATTTTTTTGTAGAGACAGGGTCTCACTGTTTTGCCCAGGCTGATCCCGAACTCCTGGCCTCAAGCGATCCTCTCACCTCGGCCTCCCAAAGCGCTGGGGTTACAGGTGTGAGTGCCGCACCTGGCCTGCTTTCGTTTTTATCTGTTACTCATCTATTTGATTTTTTAGAGTCTTTCCTCCATAAGTTTAGCCACTTTAATGGAAGTTTTTAATTTGAGGAAATGTAATTTGTCGATTTTTTTCTTTTATGGTGCTTATTTTCTGAGTCCTTAAAAAACTTTGAATACCTCTAATTTGCAAAAACATTTTTTTTTTTTAAATAGAAGTTCGGTACCTTCGCAGTAGGTTTTGCTGTTATGTCCAGGTCTGTGGCCATCTGAATGATTTTTGTGTGTGGCGTGAGGCAGGGTGGCGGTTCGTTCTCCTCGTGAACGTCTGATGGACGGGTGGAGCGCCGAGTCCCCAGCCTGTCGCTGTGGCAGCCGTAGCACTCTTCGCTTCCTCGCCGCAGCGCTGTGTGGTTCCAGGACAGAGGTCTTACACACGCTTTATAGCATTCGTCCCCGAGGCCTATGGTTTGTGAGGGTGTCATAAAGAGAATTTTGAAAAATTTCTTTTCCCAGGTTTATGCTGCTAGTGTATAAAATCCAATAGATTTTTATGTATTGACCTTGTAGTTCTAACGGTTTTTTAGTTCAGTCACTGTAGTAATTTCTGTTCTTTGTCAGAATTAGGGGCAGTAACATATTAAAGCAATTGAGAGACTGTGGCTTTCTTGTTTTTTGTTTTTGGTTTTTGAAATTGCTCTTCAATTTGTAGAGCTAACGCTAGATAATCATTAGAATCACTGTTTTGAGTCAGAAATGTGGGGTTTGGATAAATTATGTTGATTGCGTAGAATCAAACAGTTAAGCGGTAAGTATCCTTAGCGTGCTGATTGCGGATGCTTACGGAATCATCGAGCCTTGGGGACGTGGCGTTTATAACGCTTCCTGTTGCAGACGTGCCCCCTGAACGCGCCACGTAACTCTGAAGGCACTTTCTAAAAAGGCAGGTCCACCCACCGTCTCTGCCGGGCTGTGTCAGCGCCTCCCTCGTTGGCAGCCGCGGGGACAGGTTTGGCCCATGGTGGCTCAGGGGTGGGTGGTGAGGGGTCCCAATCTCAGACTCGCAGGAGCCTGAGAACCAGGCCGAAGGGCTGTGCAGTGTAGACGGTCAGTGAAGACGCCGCTCCTGTCCCAGCAGTGGACATGGAAGTGAGGCTGACCCGGGGCTCTGGTTGCAGCTGTGGCGCGGCCTCCTGGAGGTGGCCCTGCTGCCTCCTGTCGGGATCCTGGGCCCCGGCATAGCAGGAAAGCCAGGACCCGGAAGCTTCGCTTTTCACGGACAGGCGCGCAGACACGCAGCTCCCCTTTTTCTCACCCGGCGCCCTCACAGGTGTGTCCTGACGCGCGTGGACGCGCTGGGTGATTTTCACCACCTGTGTGTTCTCCCGAAGGAATTTCGGACGTGGCTGAGGGAGGAGTGGGGGCGCACGCTGGAGGACATCTTCCACGAGCACATGCAGGAGCTGATCCTGATGAAGTTCATCTACACCAGCCAGTACGAGTAAGCGCAGCCGCCCTGCGCCGCCACCGTTTCCGTCTGATCCGGGGTCGTCTCCCTCCAGCCCTGGCTCGGCCCCTGTCCTGCTGAGCCCTGTGCAGTGTCCTGTGTGGGGATGTCTCCCTTTTCCCAGGTGGCAGGGCCCACCTCTGGGAGCCCTGTTGGAAGCGGACGATAGCGCCTGTGCCCTGTGCTGTGGGTTGGCGGGGTAGGGGGCTCCCTGAGACCTGGGGGGACCCCGAGGGCCCGGCTGAGCTGCCGCGCCCCACGTAGCTCAGCCCGGGTGCTGCGTGGGCCGCCTTCCTGCCCACTCCACACAGCCTCCTGCACTGATGCTGCTGCTCCCTCCGCAGCAACTGTCTGACCTACCGCCGCATCTACCTGCCGCCCAGCCGCCCGGACGACCTCATCAAGCCCGGCCTGTTCAAGGGCACCTACGGCAGCCACGGCCTGGAGATCGTGATGCTCAGCTTCCACGGCCGGCGCGCCAGGGGCACCAAGATCACGGTGAGCGCCGTCCCAGGCTGGGCTCAGCTCTGTGGGGACCTGAGTTATTGGGGGGCAGCCTGGGAACAGGGCTGCTGAGCTGCCCGGGTGACACCGACGTGCAGCCGCCTGGAGACCTCGCGTTCACAGGCCGTTGTCCCCCCACCTGTCCTGGCCGTAGCCTTGGTGAGCCCAGCACAAAGCCCCTGTCCCGGGGGCTGCTAAGAATAGGTGCTCACTTCCCGCCCTGGGCCACCCACATGCCGTCCTGGCCCGTCATCACATAGTTTTTGTGGGGGCTTTCTGGCAGGTGGTACCAACGTGTCCTGAAGGAGCAGAGCCACCTTCCCAAGCTTCCTGGGACCAGGGCGACGTGTTCCCTCCACCTCTCCCTGCGTTTGGGCTCCCCAGTCCCCTCCCTGTCGGGGCTGCTCCAGGTGCTGCTGTCTGAGGGCCTCTGACATGTGGCTCCTTCGTACGGGATTGTTCCTAAGTCAGCAGGACGCTGGCTCGAGGGCCTTTGGCCACAGGCAGAGTCTGGCTGGACACTGCGCAGAGGCTGCTGTTCTGGTCCTGAGCCCCGCTGACCACTGCCTGCCCCGCAGGGCGACCCCAACATCCCCGCTGGGCAGCAGACGGTGGAGATCGACCTGAGGCACCGTATCCAGCTGCCCGATGTGGAGAACCTCCGCAACTTCAACGAGCTCTCGCGCATCGTCCTGGAGGTCCGAGAGCGGGTGCGCCAGGAGCAGCAGGAAGGTGGGCGAGAGGCAGGCGAGGGCCACGGCCAGCAGGGCTCCCAGGAGCCACCGCCGCCCGGTGGGGAGCTGGACGGGGCACCTGCTGAGGACGGCGGGGAGCCTGGGGACGCGGCAGCCGCGGTTGAGCAGCCCGCCCAGTCCGGGCAGGGGCAGCCGTTTGTGCTGCCGGTCGGCGTGAGCTCGAGGAACGAGGACTATCCCCGCACCTGCAGGATGTGGTGAGGACACAGTGGGCCCTGGGTGGGAGCAGGCCGGGCGATGGGAGCCTCGAGACTGGGGCGGGACCTCTGACCACTCGGGCTATGTCCTGGCCGCACAGCCGGGTCTCGGGACGGAGGCTTCTGTCCGTTCCCTTCCTGGGGGCTCCACCTGGGGACCTCAGAGCTGCCGGGGTAGGAGGCTTCCTCCAGGTGCCTCCTGTCACACTGGTGGGCAGCTGCACTGCCGGCTCTGAAGTGACTTCACGGTCCGTCCAGGGAAACACGAAACTGTCCGACGGCCGTGACAGTAGAGAGTGGAGAACAGAGCTGCCCTGCCCGCCCCCCGCGGGAGCCCTGGGGTAGCACTGCTGTGCCCGGGTGTCCCCCGTAACGTCCGTGCAGGTGCTTCTGCCGTCCCCTAGTGAACGCAGCTCCTCCTCCCCCCTGCCGCCTCCTGGGGGTCTCGTGCCCACCTCGGCCATGCCGGGCGGCACCTGGTGCCAGCGAGGTGGACTCCTGCCCAGACAGCGCGTGGAAGGGGCTGGTGTCGTGGCCGCGCTACGCTTCGTCCTTACACCTGGTCTCTGCTGCCTTCAGCCTTGGAGGCCACCCTGGCCGTCTCTTGGTGACAGACGGAGGTGGCCCTTGCCCGGTTCCTCTGTCTTTTAGGGCTGGTTCAATTTAGATGAACTACAGTTGAATAATATGAAAAATCCAGGTTCTGCTGCGCTGGCCACGTGCCACGTGCTGGTGGACAGGGCAGCTCCAGAACATTCATCGTCGCGGCGAGTTCTTCTGTGCAGTTGCCCGGGGCCTTGGGAGGGTCAGTCAGTCTCCTGGCATGACGCCCGTTTCTGCCTTTGTCAAGTGTGTCTCTTGTCCTCCTTCCTCTGGACGGCTGCCGCCACGTGCCCACGATGGTCTGATCGGCATTTCCCTGCAAACTTGACCTCAGAGAGCGATGGGTGCTGCAGGCCCAGCACTCAGGTGTCTTGGTGGGGCCTTCTTCATGCTGCGCAGTTAGGATGACAGTGACCGGGGTTGGGGTTTACGGAGACAGATATGCAAATAGCATTCCAGTGTGATTTCAACCGCTGTAAATCTCTGAATGGCCAGAGAAGAAAAACCTTTGTTATCCTGTGAAAGTCTTACAGCTCCCAGTTCCTCGTGGCCAGCTGAGAGGCAACGTGGCCCTCACGGTGCACTGTGGCCGCTGGCTGGGGAGCTCCTGCAGGACAGTTGTCCACCCAGCGCTGAATGTCAGGGGCTCTCGTGGCCCGGGAGGGGCGAGCTGTGTCCCTTCCACCCCTGGTTCATGTGTCTGTGTTGGAGAATGCCACCGTGGCTTGTGCTCAGCTGGGGCCACTCGCGTGCTTTCGTGGCTCCCTCCCGCCCTCCTCACGCTTCCCCTCTTGTCTCTCTTCAGTTTCTACGGCACCGGCCTCATCGCTGGCCATGGCTTCACCAGTCCCGAACGCACCCCTGGGGTCTTCATTCTCTTTGACGAGGACCGCTTCGGGTTCGTCTGGCTGGAGCTGAAATCCTTCAGCCTGTACAGCCGGGTCCAGGCCACCTTCCGGAACGCAGACGCGCCGTCCCCGCAGGCCTTCGACGAGATGCTCAAGAACATTCAGGCCCTCACCTCCTGACCGGCCACAGCTCTGTGCACGTCCTGGCGGCCCCAGGGCTTTGGACTCGACCTGTGAATAGAAGCAGCATGCACTTTGGAGACGCGGCCTTCCCGCCGGAACGCACGCCTCCCGTCGGGCCCAGCCCAGCCGCCCGGAACGCTTGGCATAGGGCGTGTGACACACGCTGCGTGTCTGTCAGTACCGCGATGGAAAAGCTGAGCATGACTTGCCAAAAAAAACAAAAGAACAATGAACTAGAGTAACTCAGATCTCGGGATGGCTGCAGGGCACGTGAGAGTCCAAGTGGCGAAGTCGTGCATGTCCTCGGCTCGTGGGTGGTTTTCCAGGGAAAACACGATCCTCCTTCAAAGAGTCCTTTCCGCGAGAGCAGGTAAGGCAGGTTGTGTGGGGAACGTGCCTGCCCCACCCTGTCTCCTCTGGATGGAGCCAGCAGAAGTGGCCCCGCGCGGGGGTCAGGAAGAGGCAGATGGTGCAGGCCGGGCAGGTGGCTGGGGACCATGCGGAGAAGGAGCTCCTGGAAGCCAGTGGAGGGTCAGGCTGGGGTGGGGACCCGGGATCGAATTCCCGCTTCTCTTTACTCACGTGGATTTTCGACAAAAGCATTTCATCCCAACCTCAGTTTCCCTGCCAGTGAAATGGGGTTAGTGACACGGGTCACTAGTGACTGTCACTTGTGCCTGCCCCGGCCACGAGTTCTAGCGTGGAACCAAGGCCGTGTTCTGGCCACGTGACTGCCGCAGCGGCCTGCTCCGGACACAGCGTCTGTTTCGTGCACTCCCTGCACACGCCGCGGGGTCAGAGCCAAGTCTGCAGGGTCACGCGTCTGAAGTGGTCCCTGCGTTTACTGCAGTTGAGTGGCTTACACAGGTGCAGTTCTTAGGAGCGTTAATGTGCCAGAAGTGGCCACAGCAGATGTGGAAGCCCCTGGCAGGCGGGAGGACAGCTTTCTAGAAAAGCCGCACCTACGTAGGGGTGCACTTTGGAAGCCAGGGCCTGTCGGGGACCCTGCAGCTCCAACACTCCGAGTGCTGCTGCTTCTGCTGGCATTGTGCCCCTTGTTGTGTTAACACCTGCATTTGGGGACCCCGTTGAAGATTTTAGCAAGGTTAGTGTCACCTGAAGAGCAGTGACTGCACGGCCTGGAGCCGGCCCCTCCTCCAGCCTGCAGCTGGCTCCGTCCCCACGTGGACTTGCGGGCGCGTCTCCCTCTGCCGCTCATCCTGGGCTGCGCGCCCCGGACTCGAGGGACTCCTCCCCGGATGTGACCGTCTTGTGGTGCCTTTGTACAGAGACCAGCCTGAGGATGTCCCAGGAAATGTTTCCCGATTACTCTCTCCCTGACTGGCCTTTAAAAAAATAAAATAAAAATTCCCATTGCCCGAGCTTCAGTCCGTTTGCAGCTTGCTTTGCTTCCCAGAGAGACTGGCAAGCGGTGTGGCCGGAGCCCTCGGGTCGCCGCCCGCCCCGAGCCTCAGGACGAGGGCCGTGGAGAAGGTGCGCCCGGGGCAGCAGGGCTTGGAAGCTCTGAGACCTGCGCCTGCCCGCCGGCTGCTCTGCTGCGCCCGCAGGGAGTCGCGGGCCGGGTCCCCTTCCAGTCTTTCACAGGATTCGCCTAAACGCCTCTCTGAGTGTGACTGTTTCTCTGTGTCAAATGAGGCAGTCCCTGAATGACGGTGACTGTGGCCACAGAGCCTCAGGACCGTGCCCGTGTTGGCTGGTGCTCTAAGTGCACCACTGTTTAAATCCAGAATGTGCATTACCAAGAGCCTGCGGCTCACGCTAAGGGGCCTGTCCCATCGGAGGTGTCCCCTGGGGCCGTAAAGACCACATGGATGGGGGATGAGGACTTCCGATTAAAAAGTCTCGAATCTGAATGTGTCACCTGCTTCTGGTGTTTGGTTTGTAAATGGTTTCCACTAACAATGACTCATCATGGGCCACTGGTCGGTTCACGTGGCTGCTGGCTCTGGTGTGTGGGGGGGTGGGGGTTCCTGGCGGAGCCCCTGGCCAGGAAGGTGAGGCCTTGGTGCCGCACAGCTGGTCCCTTCTGGCTGCGAGGACACGCACGTCCTGGAGGGTACGGGAATGTTTTCTCCTTAGCCAGTCCTTGGTTCCAGTTCTGTAGGGACAGTCCCAGACTCTGTCTGCGCCAGCCAGACACCAGCAGCTTCCCTTCAGCACAGCGCTCCCGACTCACGGGAACTGACTCACCGCGGTTGAGGATTCGAAGGGTCGACGTCACTGTCAGGCCTGCAGGCAACCGAGATTCTGATAAAACAGGTTCCGAGGACGGCCTGGGTAGCCCAGTTCAGGGGATGGCTTAGCCCACGTGGTGCTTGGCGGGGGAGAGTGGCAGGTGGACCTGGGAGGCTTCGGGCTTCCCAGACCTCTGCCCTGCTGGCCGCTGTGGCCTCGCCGCCTTGCTTGTGCCGCTGCCATCTGTGGTGGGACAGCCCTTGGCGCAGCTCTGTCACCCGAACCTGCCCTTCTGTGTCACTTGTCGGAAAGGACGCGATTCAGGATCTCAGACACGTCTTTGGAGACTTTACTGGGGCTGGGTGGCTGTCCGCGTGAGGATGTGGCAGTGTTGTCGGGCTGTGATGTGGGGCTGTCGGCCCACCTGGGCCCTGACCCAGCGCCTGCTGCTGAGTGAGTAGGTTAGGCGGCCTCGTGGCGGGAGGGACAGTTGCAGACGCCTTTCTTCCTTCCTGGCTGAGGCTGCCCTTCCTGGCCTTGCCCCAGGTGACTTCCTACTCACTGCTGCTGCTGCTCCAGTGAGTGCTTCTGGCCCTGGGCCCCCGTGGTCTGGCCACGACTCTGTGGCCTCCCGGGACCCTCGCCAGCAGATGAGGGTGGGTGCTCAGCAGCGGCCTCCTCCAGCCACGCCCTGCCTCGAGGCTCTGGGAAAAGCAGCTGGGCTCTCTCAGGACCTTTTTATTCTGCTCCCGACCTTCATGTTCTGACGTTTTAAGAATGCTCAGGGGACGTACTTGTGGAACCCGCACCTGGCTTGAGAACAGACTCTCCACATGGTCGTGAGTGCCACTGTTAGCGCAGACTGCCACTCTGCCTCTGCTTTCTGGGGACAGATCAGGAATGTAATTGACTCTGTATCCTCAGAATTAGAGTAGAAGAAAGCAACAGGTGATCTCAGTAGGTACTTTGAGTGATCGTGCCACATAGCCGAAAGCTCTGTCACCTGCAGCGTGGTGGCTGCAGGGCCAGCCTTCAAGGGGGCTGTGGCAGGAAGGTGTTCCCTCTTCCAGGTCTCGCTGTGTTTGCAGGGAGAACAGCCAGCGCATGTGAGGGGGTCAGACCTTTTAGTTTTTTACTCTGATTTTACATTTGGTGGTGGCTGACCACACAGCTACTTGGAGAAGGAAAACGTTGACTCTGATCTTGAGCCCCTCCAAGCCCTTGACTGAGGCGGGAGACTTGTGCTCACCCAGTGACCAGCTCCGGTGTGCCCAAGGAGGCCGCTGAGCGGGGAAGGGCCCTGAGGAAGCAGCTGCCGGGTGCCTGGATGTCCTCACCCGGTACCATGTGGACGGTTCTCCTTGCAGGGTCTTTTTTTTTTTTTTTTTTTTGAGACTGAGTCTCACTCTGTCACCGTGGGTAGAGTGCCGTGGTGACATCGTAGCTCACTGCAACCTCAAATTCTTGGGCTGAAAAGCGATCCTCCTGCCTCAGCCTCTCGAGTAGCCGGGACTACAGGTATGTGTTGCCACAGCTGGGTAATTTTTCTATTTTTAGTAGAGACAGGGTCTTGTTCTTGTTCAGGCTGGTCTTGATCTCCCGGCCTCAAGCAACCCTCCCTCCTCGGCCTCCCAGAGTGCAGGGATTACAGGTGTTAGCCACCACACCTGGCCTCTCCTTGCAGTTTTAAGTAAATCTGTTTTCAAAACCGTGCCGCATGCTTTATGGTGTTTCTTCCAGGATGTGATTCAGATGGAGGCTTGAGCCCTGAGCAACACGGCCGTCAGGCCTGGGACGGGTGTCCTGGGAGCCTGCGCTTCCCATGCCAGTCTGACAGTTTCAATTTTCCCGCACCGATGGGACAGAGCAGGAAGGTGACTCCTTGGAGCCCACACAAGGCTGGTCCCTGTGTCCTTCCCTTTGACCTTGACGTGTCCCGTGTGCTACCCAGTGATCCTGAGGGAGTGGGGGCCTCAGTGGGCTTTCTTAGATCACCGCCGTGCGTTTGCCTTTTGTGAGACCAGGGTAAGAACGGGTTGGATTCCAGCCGGGACTGTGCTCCTAGCCCAGCAACCTCGATGCTTTCTGTTTACTGAAGTCATACATTCTTGTAAAAAATTCAAATGTTTACCATAGTAAAAGTACATCATCTTCCCATCCCAGCCTCCCCAGGAGTCGTTGTTGCTAATTAATACTGTTAGCCTGGATTTAGAAAAAGGGACTTTTTTTCTGGAAATACACTCAAACAGTGTCATCGGTTGGCAGAAATTGGCAAGTGTGGTATTGCTGAGTGTCGGCCGTGACGTGGGGGAACGAGAATGCAGACTGGCAGCCACTCTGGGGACAGCTGGTTATCGCTTGAGGGCTGAGGCTGCAGACTCCAGGAGCCAGCAGCCCCGACCCGAGGTGTCCACTCCGGGAAATGCGGGAGCAGAGGGACGTGGCCCACGCGGATGTTCGCTGCAGCGTCGTTACAGCAGCCAAGGATGGTCAGTGCCCACCTGAGATAGCCCCTCTGTTCTGTGTGGTTTAGAACTGACCTCCCAGGACACATGCCAAGGGCAGTGGCCCCTACCGCCTTCTCCCGCTGGCCTCGGTGCTGCAGCACGACCTGCCGGCTGCAGCCTCCGCCTTCGCGGGCCAGAGTAGAGGCCACAGGCCCCTGGCAGGAGACGCTGGCTTTTGTTGGGGTTTGCTGCTGTCTCTGGGCCTTTCTGGGGGGCCTTGTCCCTGCCCCTGGGCTGAGCCACGGGGCCTGTGTCATACCCTTGATGCACGGGTCACTTGACACCAGTCGGATTGGCTGTGAGCGGTACCATGGCGACCTCCTGCCTGGATGAGACCCTGTTACTGGAGACGCACCCCGATTACCCACAGTCACGGGGGAAGCGTGCGTCTAATAATGGACTAAATGCGGCACCTTCCACACATTTCTCTCAAATATTTTATTTTAAAATGAGAAAAGTTGGCCGGCACAGTTGCTAATGCCTATAATCCCGTGCTTTGGGAGGCTGAGGTGGGAGGGTCACTTGAGGCCAAGACTTCAAGACCAGCCTGGACAACATAGCGAGACCCCGTCTCTACAAAAACACGCATGGTGGCGTGCGCCAGTGAGCACGGGCTTACCTGAAATGCGACAGCTTGGGCTTTTGTTCTCCAGGTTCTGACACCAGCGTCCTCGGTGGTGGGGGGGGGAGTCTCTGACCTGTTTCGTCTGCGGCTCGTCTCCTGAAGCCCGGGTTCTGTCCTGATGCCCGGGCCGTGGGGACAGCAGACAGGCTGGGAAGGGAGAGGAGGGCACCCATGTGCCCACCCCAGTGGTGCGGGGCAGAAAGCTGCGAGAGGGTCTGCCTGGGTCACCTGGCGCCAGACGGGAGCCCACCTCCTCCATCGGGGAGGCCACGTGGCTCCACTGCCCTCGAAGGCATCGCTTCTTGCCCACTCGGTGGCCCACGGTCCCGGCCTTTCTCCCTGGGCCTGGGGTCGTCCTTCATTTCTGCTCCTGTGGGGACATCTTTGTAGTGTGACCTCTAGTGGGGACTTAGGGTCACTGCACACAGCTTGACCCCAGCAGCAACAGGAAAAGAACAAAGAAAAAGCCATTTGGATAAAGTTTTCAAACTTCTCCCCCAATTTTGACTGGAAAGTCCACGCGTGACAGAAGGCAGTGATCTTGTCCTTCCTGAGAGGTTCCATTTGGACATTTTATGAATAAAATCACTGTGAACATCTGTGTGGAAATTTTTGTGTGAACACAAGTTTTCATCCCTTTAGAGTAAACGGCTAGGAGTGGGGCTGCTGGGTCGCGTGGTAGGTACATGCTTAATCATACAAGAAACTGCTGCCCACATATGGCGGTGCGTCTGCTCAAAGCTGCTGCACGCCCCTTGACAGAAAATAGGGGACGAAAAGGGGAGGTTGCGCAGGAAGACACGGGAGCCAGACGGCCAAGGAGAGTGCAGGGGCGGATGGGGCACTTGGGCTGGGGGACGGAGGACGCGCCCCTGCACGCCGCGGCGCTGGGGTGCGTCCCGCAGAGAATAGAGCTTTTCCCGAAATTCTCAAGGGCCCAGAAAATACTTACTGCCTCTCACGTGTCCTAAGGAGAAGTCTGGACACTAAGAGCCCATCAGCGAGTTTCGCCCAAGACACGCCAGTCTCAGCTTCCTCATCTGTAAAGAGTTGACAGTAACAGTACCTATCGCACAGGTTACTGTGAGGACTGAATGAGTCAAAATACAGGAAGCACGCAGACTAGCACCTGGCGCCTGTGAAACTTTTGCCATAGTAGCTATCATCACCACCATCATCATCCCCGTCCCCACCATCACCACCGTCCCCATCCCCATCCCCATCACCCTCATCACCATCACCATCACCACCATCACCATCATCATCATCATCAACACCATCATCACCATCATCACCACTATCAGTACCAGCATCACCACCACCACCACCTGCAAACTCTAAGTCTGCCTTGGGGACACGTGTTGTGTGGACCTTAAACAGAGAGCTCAGTCGAGGCCTCCTCGAGAAGGGGACATTGAGCGGAGACCGAGAGGCAGTGAGGCCGCCTTTAGACACTTGGGCTGGAATGCGGAGGAACCTGGACAGGGTGTGTCTGTCCAGGCCGAGTGTGCAGGCACGCGTGCATGAGTGCGTGCGTACGCACTTGTGTGGGTGCATGCATGTGCTTACATTAACTAGGCACAGACCTCATGGTGCCCTGTGGCCACAGTGAGGACACTGGCTCGCGCTCAGCCCCAGGGGAGCCCTGCAGGCTTCCGGGCAGGCTCAGAGGTCTCTGGATGGCATGCTGAGAATGGCCTGCAGGCAAGGAAGGCGGAGGTGGGAGACGTGGGAGCCCTGGGAGGTGACAACCTCTGGGTGAACTGGGGACGGTTGGCTGGGGCGGGCATGAGCAGAGCTGGGCGTTAGATCTGATTCAGCCCCTGCTGGACGCGCCGACTCAGGCTGTACTCGTGCCGGGGCCCACCTCATGGAGCCACTGGCTCAGTGCTGCTGACCCCACCTGGGCACCAGGCAGCACAGAGAAGGGTGTTTGCCCTGGGCCCTGCGATGGCCGGCCGGCCAGCCCTTCTGAAGGGAATCGCTCAGAAAGCTGCAAGGGAGCACAGCTGTGGCCGGGGCCCAGGAGGCCCACTGAGAAACTAGACCTAATTTCTGTCTCCTTCTCAGGCTTCCATCTGCTCCCTTCCCTGCAGGACCAGAAGGGGGCAGAGGCTGGACAGCCCTCGTCACCGCGGAGCTTCTCTCTCTGTTCGCAGCGTTCCACAGTTCTATCAGAGGGCGAGCTTCCGTGGGCGCCATGGCGTGGGGGATGCAGCGGGCAGGACCCTCTTCTAGAGAACGTTCTGGTGATTTCAGAGAAAGCACTGGGGGGTCCTCGGTGCCACGTGTACGGGGTGGGCGGTGGGATGGCGACAGAGGCATTTGGAAATCAGCGAACTCTTGGAGCCTGGTCGTCACCGCTGTGCCCTTTCACTCAGCTCTGGTGAGAAGAGGACAGCGATGACACTGTGTCCCCCAGCAGACAGCAGGAGGATGGAGTGAGTGAAGACCAAGACCCTGATGTTCTACGGCCCCTCAGAAGACAGAACTGCAAATTGTCACAGTGGCAGAGGCAGGAGAATAGGGGGCGACGATGGAGCCAGGGGTCCCTCGAGGAAAGGTAAGGGCTTAAGCCGGCAGAGCTGCTCAGAATGACGCCCAGCGGGGGGACTGGTCACACACCACAGGGCGCCACAGTCTGGTTTGAAAAATAAGAGTCCTGTATCAAGGTGCGCTCAATAAAGGACGCAAGCCCGCACAGCGGCAGCTGGGACCCCGGTCTGGGACGGGACTGCTCAGCTTCAGAGAGACCCCAAAAGTGCCCCCCATGACAAACTGAGATTTTTGAAATTATAGTTCTTATTTATGTATTCTTTTTAAAACCACATTTTTACTTCACCCCCAGGGTTTGGATTTGTAGGACGCCTTTTCTATGCCTGTCATGGGTCATATTAGGCAAGTTATTCTGGAACAACAAGCCAACCTCAAAACAAAATTACGAATTTTTGGTTCTTTTCTGGTTTTAGTAGTGCCGTGTGCTCCTGTAGTGATGTTTTCAAAGTCACAGAGAAATGCGCACACGCGTGGGAGCAGCGTTCTCCCCAGTCAGGCCTCCCGGGGAAGCTGCGCAGTCTGGCGGACACGTCCCCAGCCCCTGCCCTACGCACTGTCCCATGCCAGCACTGGGGACAGTGTCCCTCCTGGAGGATGTGTCTCTCCTCTGCTTGTCCACTGGCAGGGAGTCTTGCCACCTCCTTTCCCTAAATCTGCTCAGGGATTTTTTTCCCCTAAAGATTCTATTGTCACTTGCTCAGCCTCACGCTGCTGCAGCCGGCCAGCACCACCAACGTGGCAGTGACTGGCGGAGTCCACCTCTGCCCACCAGGTCTCTGAGGGTCATTGCTGTCATCTTTGGGTGAACCAGCTCTGGCTCTGGACTCTGGACTCTGTTGCTGGTCTGTGGCACAAATGCAGGGGGCATGAGGCTTCGTAAGCATCGGAAGGAGCCCCTTCATGCAGCAGGTGTGCGGTCTGAGGGATGGTGGGAAGGGGCTGTCTTTCCTGCAAGTAGTTAATTGGTTGGGGAAACACAGGCAGGGCAGTGGGGAGGTGGGATGGGGAAGGCAGGGCCTGCACCAGGGTCTCATCTCAAGTGCAATCCTGCGGGGATGCTGGAAGTTGGTGCAGATGTGCCCAGGGTCGTTCCGGCTGCAGAGCGGAGAAGCTGGAATATTTATCCACTTTCCCCATCATTGTTGAGGGCTGGCCCCTAGACATGGGTCAGGCTACTCTCTGACTGGAAGGAGCCACTGAAGAGTGGCAGGTGCTGGTAGCTGTCAGCATGTGGCATGAGTGCCAGGGTGCAGGGTGTGTGATTTGATTAGCTGAGGGCAGAGTCAACACAAGCCCCACTCATGCTGTCAGCCAGGGACCCTTGGTTGCCGAACAAACTGCACCACTGTGCCCAGCAGCCTTGCTTCTGCCTGGTCGGCATGTTCTGGGAGGCACCTACAACTGTCTCTCTCCAGGATCGAGCAGCTTCTGTAGGTTTGGTTTTGGTCCCCATGACTCTGGGACTCACAGAGCTGTGCCTCCTTCCTACCTGGGGCTTTGGGAAGAAAAGCCTGGAAGAGAAACACTTGGTAACCAGGAGCTTTTCTGGTCCCACCTCCCTCTCCTGAGGCAGTAGGCCGATCTCCTGCCTGGAGCAGACCGGAAAGGGGACATGCAGGGAGGAGAAAGCACTGCTCAGCCACACGCATGGAATAAGCCGATGTGTAGTCAACACTCAGTCTGTGCCTGGCTCTTTGGAACACCTGTCACGCTCTGTCTTGTCTTATCTTCTCAAACTTCCTTGGGACTGGTTCTGTGATTATTTACAGAGAAAACTGAGAAAAGTTAAGCAACTTGTCTGTATCTGTCTCTGGTAACTTTTACTCTGAACACTCAGGGGCCACGCAGGCAGAGTTTCCCTTGAATCGCCAACCTGTGTAGTGACGGATTTGCTTTCCTGGACATCACACAGGTGGAATGATATGTACAGTTGGGGTCTGGCTTCTTTGTGTGCTTCATCCATGTTGTGGGTTGTAGTTGTGTGTACTTTTCCATCATTGTAGCATTAGCATCCCTCTGTGTGAATATGTCATACTTTCTAAAACCTTTTCTCCTATGGATGGACATTTAGGTTGTTCCAAGTTTGGGGCTGTGGATGTTTTTGTTCATGTCTTCTGGTGGACATAAGCTCTCATTTCTCTTAAGTGAGGCAAAGAATCAGTTGGTCGTAGGGTATTCACATGTTTAAGTTTTGTAAATACTGCCAGTTTGCCAATATGGTGCATCAATTTCATGAGCAATGAATGAGGGTTCCAGCTGCCACATTGTTGACAAACTTGGCATTGTCAGTCCTTTTCATTTGAACCATTCTTGGGTGGTGGTGATGAGCTATTCTTGACATGAAACGACAAGACAGTGTCCCAGAGGTGACGATCAGCACTTCCAGGGCCATGAGCTTGTCTTCTATAACTTGCTGGGCTAGAGTGACATTTCAGTGGGCTGAGGAGGAAAATGGAGACAGCAGAGAAGCCAAGAGTGCTCCAAAGTAGGCAGAAATGAGTTAGTCATAAGTAAAATGCTAGGCTAATGATGAGATTCTTGGATAATTTTGTCATTAGCTAGAAAAAGGCCAGTGACAACATTATTTACACACACACACACATGGGGTGACATTTGAAATATTTAAGAGCCAATATGGTAGGGGCACTGCCCAATCAGCAGGGGTGCTGGCCAGCAGAGCATGCATGTATGAACTGGCTGGAGGCTCAGCCTTGTTCATAGGTCACGAATTTAATGGTTAAAAAACGCAGCCAAGAAATCTGAGCAGAGTCTGGGAGCATCCTGTTGCTCTATGGCTGGACCGCAGCACGCCGAGGTATCGCCCGTGAGGACTAGAGTTTTTTCTGGTGGGGTTTGGGCGGCCGGATCCGGCGCGACGCCGCGGCTACCTGGGATTTCAGAGGAGCCCGAGAGCCCTTCAGTGCAGCTTGTCCCCGCACCGCGGGGAGGGTCGCCCTCGCAGGCTCCGCGCGCTCGGCCCCACCTCCTTCTCTCCTCGCACAGGATGAAGACCCCGGCTGGGGCTCCCGATGGCCCTCCGGGCCAGTCCGCAGGACACGGTGAGTGGCTCCCAGGGCGGCCGGGCAGGGGAGGGCAGCACGGCGCTCCGACCCGGTGACCCCAGTCGCCGCGGCGGAAGACCAATCAGCCGCCAGCTAAGTACACGTCTCTAAAAGGCCGCGCCTGATTGGCTGAGCGCGGGCCAATTGGCGGGGCGGGCCACGGGCTCGGGCGGGCAGGGCTGTTGGATGGCGGCCGCGAAGGATGGGGTCTCGACAGGGTCGGGGCCCGGCGGAGGCAGAGGGGGCGGACGGGCTGGCTCGGGCAGCGAGGCTGCGGACAATGGTGTGAAGGTGCCTGTCAGCTATAAAAAGTGACACCCGTGGGAGCCACTCCGTTTTTGTCGGCGTTGTGGTCGCCGTCATCATTACGATGCTGTTTGGGCGGCCCTGGGCACTTCTGCAGGTGGTCGGGTTCGGTCCGGTCCCGTAGGCATGCATGCACACCCAGAGCGCATTATGCAGGCAAGTGCGCCCCTGAAGCCTGCCCGCCGGTGCCTGGCGTGGCTCGCCTTACCTCCATGTAGGTGGGACTCGTGGTCAGAACCGACCAGAACCTGTCTTCATTGGCCTAAGCACGAAGAGGCAACTGATTGTTTCACAGAACTGAAACTGTCAGGAGTAAGCCTTCAGGCATGGGTGTATCCAGGTGCACAAGGACAGTGGTCCTGGACGGTTCCTCCTCCTCTCTGGGCTTCCTTTCCTTTGTGCTGGCTTCCCTCGTGGAGATAAGATGATCACCAAGACCTCCTTAGGTTTACATGTTATCAGATTATCAATCCCAACCGAAGAAAGGAGAGTTTCTTTTCCCAATAAATCCAGCAGAGAGTCCCAGAATTAAGTCTCGTTGGGCTGACTTGGGTTATGCCACCATACTGAGCCAATCTCTGAGACCAGCTTGGCCTCACTTTCCAGGCTGGGGAGTGGTGAGTTCAGCCTCCTGAGCCACATGGACTGAGATGGGTTATGGCCCCCCCAAGAAAACAGCAATGCTGTTACTACCAGAAGGGCGCTGGTATGCCATGCAGGGCAATGCCCCCCAGCCTCTGTTTTCAAGTATCAGCTAGGAGAGTAGATGCTTGAATCTATTACTTCAATAAAATAACAATAAAAATGTTATGATAATGAAATACAAAAACACTTGTATCACTTTTATAGTTTCCAGGTTACAAAGCACTTTGACATGCCACTGTCAGAGAAACAGGGCTTTGCTTTGTGTTTGATTTGTACCCACTGGAGACTCTCCATGTGGCCAATGTTCAAGCAGTGTGTTGGGGTGAGGGATTGGAAGAGTAATCCAGAGTCTGTGTACCCCTAAATGCTGCCATCCCAGAGACAAAGCACCTGGGTTTTTATACTGGAAGGAGTTTCATGAATGTACAGTTTTGACAGTATTTTCCTTCAGTATTTCAGTAAGCTGGGGGTGTCTGACAAAGCGTTGTAGGTGGTGTGATTGGCAGCTCAAGGTCTTGGAAAGTTCTCACCAGGTTGGAACGCTCCCGTCTTTCCTGGTGGTCCAAGCACAAGTTTAGCTAGAGTGTACTTGAAGCAAGTTGTCCTGGGAATGCAGGATTCCACAACAGCTGCCATCCGGGAACTCCCAGACATTAGCAAGCACACACCTGCTTCTAATGTCACTGCCTAACCCTTCTTGGGCTCAGAAGGATGACCCCCCTGCCACTCCAGGGGTTTATTGATAAGAATCTGTTCCAAGAAGGCTGGCCCAGGCCCCTGCCCTAGCTCCCTGGCCCCCAGTTTATGCAAACTGTGGAATTTTCTAAGCCTTCCTCTTTTTTTTTTTTCCCTAGAAAGAGCACATTTCAGACCTTCAGGAAAGAAGCGTGCCTCATAGATCATTCAGTAAGGAAAACAAACCCTCGGCCATTTTGCCACAACCTTAACACACCCATGGCGCAAGAAGAGTGGAGAATGTGGGTCTAAAAGCTGCATCTCATGAGAGGATGCACAGGACAAGAAAGTCTGCGATGGCAGGGACCATCACTGTGTCGTCAAATCTCTATGTAGGGGCACCCACTGCCACCCACTTTCCCCTCCACCCCCTTGGTTCTCATGGTACCTCATTGGGTTTAGGAGCCCTGGGAGAACCAGCAGGCCACCTATCGTACCTGGTTTGGGCATTAGCTTCTCCATCTGCCCCTAGAGGTGGTGACAACCCCTCTCCTTCCTGCCTGTGGGTGTTGCGAGGGTCCCATGGGATCAATGTGAAAGCCCTTGCAGACCACGAAGTACTCCATGCAGAATGACACAGGTGACCTTAAAGGCAACACTCGTCTCCCCGAAAGCCTCTAGAGCTGGTTGTACTCCACCGTTTTCAGAGGGGGCCCCTGAGACTTGTTTGCAGTAACATGGCGGTAACTGGCTGAGAATCCCAGCATGCCTGGTCTGCAGATCCCCCTCCAAACGACCTGGGAGGGCCTCAGGGTGAGCCACGGTCACCTGCCTCTATCTGAGCTGCCGTAGGAGCTGGGGCACCTGTCCCTGCCCCCGATGTTCTTGCTCTGAGCGTCGCCCTGCTGCGCCAGGGTTCCCTGGCCCCCTGCAGGCGTCACGTTCAATTCCGTCCTTTCTGGATCCTGCTCAGATGTGCCCTGGCCCCTGCGCTGCTCTCCGCGAGCCCATCTGCTGCGAGTGCCAGACCGGATTCGGGGGCCGCCTGCCCGAGCCCAGGGCTAAGGCGGTGCTGCCTTACTGGGTCCCTCTGTCCCTGAGACCCCAAAAGCAGGTAGGTGACTGGAGCCAGGGGTCTTCACCTAGGTGCAGGGTGCACGTCAGGGGATGAGAATTGTAAGTATTATGTGAATGACACGTAAAAATTTCTGGGACACAGCTTGTGACTTTTTAAAAACTAGATTTCTGGAGGTGTGATTGGCACGGGATAAACTGCACCCATGTGCAGTGTTTAGACTGGGGAGTCCTGACACACGTGCTCCCCTGTGAAGCCACCACCACGGTGGAGTAACGAGCACATACAGAGCGCTCGGAGGCTCCTGGGGCCCCTGCGTGACCCTCCCCAACCTTCCGCGCCCTGACATCCCCAGGCCAACCCCGATCTGCTTTCTGTCGCCACGGATTAGTTTGCATTTCTTGGAGTTTTATATAAATGGAGTCATGTAATACGTACGCTTTTTGTCCGGCTTCTTGCACTTGGGGCCATCATGTTGAGATCCATCCACACGGTGGCATCAATAGTTTATGTCCCCTTTTATGAATGGGTCATAGTTTGTTCATCCAGAAGGACATGTGGATTGTTTCTACTTTTAGTCAGTTACAGATAAAGCCGCTGTGGACATTTGTGTACTGCTTGGCTTGTGGGTAACTCTCCCACACGCGGGGTCAGAGGCGTCGTGTTTTCCTGTATGTCTAAGGGTTGGTGTCAGTGAAGTGGGGTTTGCTAGAGTGGCCTTGGCTCAGGGAAGCGTGTGGTTTGGGGAGAAAGGTCGAAAGGGTGGGGGGTGAGGCACCTTTGATCCCTGGGTGGCCACGTGTCTCCCGGGTGCGGAGCCGCGGTTGTGTGACTAAAGGTGAACGTTATTGTTACCTGTGGGATTTGAGATGGAGCCAACTCCGGGAGCTGGTTCACTGATGCGTAAGGAAATGTAGACTAATAAGAAACAAGCAAAAATATTCTATCCCTGAATGCAATTGAATGAAATTAAAATGAAAAGTGCGGGTCCGAACTTGCCGCGAGGCCCAGCTCAGGTTTCAGTGAGTCTGAGCTTTGGCCACTGGCCTCAGAGCCGCCCCAGTGCCGACAGCTCTGCTCTCCCCTCCCACAGGTGGCTGCCGCCCTCTTGTCTGCCATCCGTCATTTGCTGTCCCTTTCTGATGGGTGTTCAGGCTGTCTGGTCACTACGGACCGTGGCGCAGTGAATATTCCTGTGCACACGACTCTGCAAATGCAAAAGTGTCCCCAGAGGACACGTTCCTGGGAGTGGAACTGAGGGCTCACAGGCTGTGTCTATGAACCTGACGACTTGTCAGGTGCCAGCAGAGCCCTCTTCCGGCTGAGAGTGCGGGGGCCTGGGACGCTAAGCGTTTGCCCAAGGGCCACTGCTAGAGACCGCCAGGCTCGGGACAGGGCCAGCTCTCCTGATGCCACCCTGCTTGTTCTGCCCGGGTGCCATGTGGACATCCCACGGCACAGGGGCAGACGGTGGGTGATGAGGGCAGGCAGGCCGCAGAGGTCCTGCGTCCCCCACCTCTGGGTGTGTCTTGGCAGGGAGACCGCGCGCGCGTGCGGGGCCTGTGTCGGGAGGGACGTGGGAGGAAGTCTCCAGGCCCAGTGGGTGTTAGTTGTGGCCCCAGCCCCTTCTGAACCTGCTCTTCCCTTCCTCTCTGTTAGATCCCAAAGAGGGTCCGGTTTTATATCCCCCAAACCACCAAGATGTGCCCCTGCCCGTGCCACCGCTTCAGGGGCCACCTCCCAGTGCCCAGGGACCAGGCAGCGATGCCCTACTGGGTGCCCCGGGTCCTGAGGTCACAGAAGCAGGTGAGGAGGGCCGGGCCTGCAGGGTGAAGGGGAGCATGGGGTGCCCGGAGGTCCCCAAGAGAGGCCTCTGCCACGGCCCAGAGAGGGTCCTCTGACAGCTGCGGCGGGCTATGGAGCGCAGAAGGCGCTGGGCTGAAGGGAGGGCCGTGCAGGTCTCTCGGGTCACCCGGTTGTCTGAGGAGGCCTTCCTCGTCTCCTCTGCCCCCTCCTCTTCTTCTCCCCCACCCCTCCCTGCTCCTGACCCCGCCCAGCCCTCCTCCACCTCTCCCACGTCTGTCCCGCGTCCTGCGGTTGTAGCCCCTCCCTGGCACGGAGGGAGGCTGGGAAGGACCATCACGATTTCCTGTCCTCTCTCTGGGCCATCTGGCCGCCCCCACAGCACCCGTCCCAGGAAAGCGGCTGCTGGCAGCCGGCCAGGCGGGCCCTTCTCTCCCTGCGTCCCTGGTCCCCGGGAGGGAGGCAGAGGCTTCCTTCCTTCCCTCACCCACACCTCCAGCTGCTGGTTTTCTGTCACTGAGTAGCGCACTGTCCCCAGAGTGAAGGCCTTGTAACAAGGGACCATGGCTGGCGTTCTGAGTGGGCCACCGTCCCTGCCCAGAGGGTTCGAGTCCAGGTTACCAGGCCCTCCCCTCTCAGGGATTGCTGGGCTGACACACGTGCCCTGTTCTTGTCTTGTAGGTGGCGAGGCGGCAGCGGAGTGCCAAAGGCATCCCAGGTAACCCCGTGAGGCTCGTCTCCTCCCCCTCCCCGAGTGTCACGGTGGGTGGGGAGACTCCTCTCGTCCCCAGACACCTGTGAGACAAAGAGGACCACAGTGGTGACATGCCTGCGGGTCCCCTGCCCTGCTTTCGCCAGGCACCACTGGTCACTCACCGTCTTTCCCCAGTGACCCCAGAGAAGCCGCAGCTCCCCAGAACACCCCACCTGTCTGTTAGCAGCGGCTTTCCAGGTAGAGCCAGGTTCCAAGCCAGCTCGGCGACATCTGAAGTGGCTTTGATTTAAGCTCTAATCTTCTATAATTCCTGACACAGTCGGGGTGTGTGTACATGACATAGCACATATTCCTGTATATCCTATTATGTACTCACACATTTGCGTATTCGCGACACATTATATATTCAAACACAACATTTATGTATCTATTCGCTACATATATTCATAATTCATATACTTGGGACCTAGTGTCTGTGCAGTCGCACATTCGCTATGGGCGTAGTGTGTGCTCACACCTGTGTCACAGATTCATGACAAGCATGTTCTTGCACTTGTGTGTTTGTGACCTAGTTCATAGTCCTATATTTGTGACACGGACATCTTCACGTTCCCGCTCTCCCGACGTCCTATCTGGGGCATCGACATCTCCACCCACCGTGACTTCCTCTGTCTCTGAAATGGGGGTGGCCTTGACTGCATCTGCGAACCGTGGATCTGTGAATGGTGGCGGGGTTCCGGGCCAGGGAGAGTGGTCTGAGTGGAGCTCCTAGAGCCCAGGGGTGGGGCAGTGCTTGCGGAATGAATAATCGCCAACCAACACGCCCACCTCTTCGTGGTGCACGAATAAGTACTTTTTCTTAATTATAAAAGTCACACGATTGGTAGGGGCGTAATTTGTCACAGCCTTTGTGGGGGGCAATTTGGAGGCAGCTGCCATATTGTAAAACATGTGTAACCTTCCGTCGAACTCCCTGTGGAGACTCCCACACTCAGCAGGAATTTTCAGAGCAAAATACTGGACTATTTGAGCACCTCTGGTAGGACACTGGACACGGTGGGGTGTGTTTGAAACGTGGCACCGGCCATCTGGGCACAGAGCGTGAGGGACAGTGAAATGGACCCAGATGAGTAACTTGGGAAGATCCCCAAGACTTAGCGCTACATGGAAAACAGGCCCACCCGGCGGGACTCCACTGATGTAAACCCAGAAGGCCAGGGCCCTGTTGAGTGTAGACGCAGGTCTGGGGGTGTGTGTCACAGGGACCTGTGTAGGCCCGGCGGAAAGAGGTCAGGTTAGGTAAAGTCCCTGCAAACAGAGACTGGCATTTGTTACTCTTGAGAACAAAGCAGAAAGCGGCACGTTAGCTCAGGTGGCAGGTACAAGAGCCAGAAATCACCTTCGTAACAAAACTCGAGGGCCATAGGAAGAGAACAAGAGGAGGAACTTCTCTCTGACTGTCTAATCACACACTTGAGGGTTTATTTTTGATTATTTTTGGCTTTGAGTACCTTGCATTTTAGGAAGAACTAAAAGCTTACTTAGTTTATTGTTGAATCATATATATCAACTGGTATGTTTTTAAAAACCAGCATTAATTTTTACTCCCAGCATTGTTTTATAGTTTAGGCAATTTGTATACGTAATGTTTCAAGCCTCAAAGCCGTTCAAGCCGCAAGATTTTCACAGGATGGGACTAGGAGAGCGAGCGTCACTGCGGCCGGGAGAATTACGAACTCTCTCTCCCGTGGCTTCAAGCACAGGGTGATTTTAAAATGCGGGATGTTTTCTCTGGCTTCAAACCCAGCTGATTTCCACGTTATTTTATTTTATTTGTTTTTTGCGCTGGGGTGGGAGGGTCTTCCCGTGGGAACACCGTGAGACATGTTCCGAAAGAGCCGCCACGCTTGATCCCGCTTCGGCAAGAAGGTTCGTGTTTCTGATCTTAGTTTTCTGGTAAAGAGAGGCTTCTGTGCGTTTCTACTCGGTGCTTTTGTGGTACAATTTCTTATGACGAAACTATATTTGTTGTATTTCTATGAATAGTGCATTTCGCATGAATGTAACTGGAGTGCGTATTTCATATTCATGGCATATTAATAGTGTAATAAAAATAAGAAAGAATTTTCAGGAGGCGCACACGCTGGCCGAGGCACGCCCGCCGAGCGCCAGAGGGCGTGGAGGTGCTGGGACACGGAATTCTTCCTGTGGCCGTCACTACCTTTTCATCGCGGAGAATTTCAAATACTTGTCGAGGTGGCGATTGGTTTAAAGGAGCCCCTGTGCCCATCGCCGGTATCCGACCTGGTTTCACTGGTCTTCACCCACCCCTGCCCCCTTCAGAAAAAAAAGGTGATTTTAGAGCAAATCCCAGCTAGACATTGTATCATGCGTGTACACTGCGCGGTCGCTAGAGGATGGGGACAGCCCGAGGCCGCTACCACCCAGGAAATCACTGCTGGCAAGACCTTCTTCGTCCACTAGACGGGGTCAGTGTCCCCACCCCCGAGGCTGCTCCTCCGACCTCACACCTGCCCTTTCTCCACCTAGAACCCCCCCTGGCCTCCAGTTCCCAGCACAACCGCTGGCGCATCTGCTGCAACGACGGCCACCTCCTGCTCAGGTGGCAGCAGCTCCAGGCCCTTCACCGGGACAGGCCACCTGCTCTGGGGCAGGGAGCCAGCACCCCAGCCCCGCTGCTGCCCAGGGGCTTCAGCCTCCTTGCACTGCTCCAGGCCTTCCTGAGGGCCACCGTGGCCATTCGGTGAGCAGGTGAGCTGGGGGGCGGTAGGGCCCTGGGCACAGTGCTGCCCTCGTAGGGGGCGAGGGGTGGTGGGCGGCAGGTGTGGTTCCATGGAGGCTGGGGTGGCCGTCCTGCCCTGCAGGCCCTGCCCCTCCCCATTTTCCAGGCAAGGGCATCTAGAGGGGCCAGGGGTGGGTGGGGCCTCTCGGGGCTCGTCCCCACCTTCTCTGTGCACCCCTTCCCTGCTCCCAGGACAGTACCAGTCCCAACTTCTGTCACTGAGTTGGGGCTGACAGTGGATCTTAGTGTCCTGCCAGCCTCTAGGGTCTGAACACCCCCTCGGGGTGGGGACCTGCTCCCAGTCCCAGCCCAGCCCTGGCCACCGGGCTCTGCATGGGGAAGCCCCCGCTCTGTAGTTCTGTAGCAGGCATGTGTTTGCTTCTGAGCCGAGCTTGTAGGACAGGTGCGGGCATCTAGCAGCCATTCGGGAGAACGTGTGTTGTCTGCCTGGGATGTGTGGGTGCCTTGTGAGACGCCCCAGGCCACATGCCCGGCTATCTCGGGAGGAGCCATGGGGATCAGGGTGGACCCGCCTTGGCCTTCATTTCATCTGTTCTGCACAGCGGGAGTTGTCATCCCTTTCCAGAAGGAGCACCAGGTTCTCAGAGGTGCAGGCTTGCCTGGGGTCCAACTCCTAGAAAGTGATGCCACCAGGACCACACCCCGGAGCCACGTCCCTGCCTGGGACAGCTCAGGCCCTGAGCGCTGTGGGGACCCGGCCCCTGGAGGCTGCCTGCCAAGGGCACTCCAAGGGCAGTGTGGGCTCAGCCTGGGCAATGCTTCCTAGTAACTGCCTCTCTCTTTGCTTCCCAGCCAGATTTTTTGGGTTTGAAGTTGGAATCTTCAGCTACTGTCAAGAGCATCAACAAAATTGTTAGTCATAATCAAGATCTTCAATGACAGTCCTCCGATTGGGAGGAGTCTGTGACGTCCATATTTTCTCATATAATTCACATTCCAAATCCAACCCAAATTATTTACCATCAGGTGATTCTCAGCCGTAGCGGAGCTGGTGTGGATTGGGTGAGATTCTGTTGTGAGTGTGGTCAATAAACGTTATTTGTGAAACTCACAAGTGATCCCCGCTGATTCCCCTTCATTCAGGAGGGGCTTGTTCCCCATCTCTGTGCCCCTGATGAGGTTCCCAGATGGTTTTTGCACCTGTTTCAGGTGGGTTTCACTTTACGTAGCATAACAGTGCATGCAAATTGAATGTTTAAATCTGAGAAATCATTTACATATTGTAAAATTCATTTTTTTAAAGTATAAAATTCAGTTGTTTTCAATATATTCACAGTGTTGTGCAGCATCACTACCAGTTCCAGGACATTTTTCATCACCGTAAAAAGGAACCCCGTCTCCATTAAGCCATCACGCCTCCTTCCCCTCCTCCCCCGGTCCCTGGAAACCACGACGCTCCCTGCTGTCTCTGCGGATTTGCCTGTTCTGGGCATTTCGTGTAAGTGGCATCACACAGTATGTGGTCTTGAGACTGGCTTCTCTCACTTAGCGTGTTTTTCCGGTCTGTCCATGTTGAGGCGTGTCTCAGGACCTCCTTTCTGTTTATGGTTGGATAATATCCCATTGCATGGATGTGCCACATTTTGTTTATCAGTCGTCGGCTGATGGACCTGTGGGTTGTTTCCACCTTTTGGCTGTTGTGAATTATGCTGTTGTGAACATTCATGGGCAAGTGTTTGTGTGGAAAGCTGTTTGCATTTCTCTGGGTGTGTACCTGGGAGCAGAAGAGCTGGGTCATACGGTAATTCTGTGTTTATATTTTGGGGAACTGCCAGGCTGTTGCCTGCAGCTGGCGCACCATTTTGTGTTCCCGCTGCAGTGCGTGAGGGTTTTAGTTTCTCCACATCCTTGTCAACACTTGTCATTTTGATTGCAGCCATCCTAGCAGGTGTGAGGTGGCATCTCGTTGTGGTTTTGGTTTGCATTTCCCTAACAACTAGCGATGGTGACCATCTGTCCACATGCTTATTGGATGTTTGCATATCTGCTTTGGAGAGATGTCTGTTCAAATACGTTGTATTTTAACTGGATTGTCTATCTCTTTATCGTTGAGTGGTGTGTGTTCTTGTATACATTCTGGGTACTAGACTCTTACAAGATATATCATTTGCAAATAATTTCTCCTCTTCTGTGAGTTGCCTTTTTACTTTTTTAGTGATGCCCTTTGAAGTACAAAAGTTTTAAATTTTTGTGAAGTAAGTTATCTGTTTTTTCCTGGGTTGCTCTTGCTTTAGGTAATATGGTCCTATCGAAGATACTATTGCCTGATCCAAGGTCACAAAGGTTTGTTTGCACCTGGGTTTTCTTCTAAGAGTTTCATAATTTAGGTTTTTTATTTATTCTGAGTTCAATTTTGGTGTGCATATGGTGTGAGGTAGGGGTCCAGCTTCACTCTTTTGCATGTGGCTATCCAGTTGTCCCAAAAAACCTTTGAAATGATGCAATTATAGAAATGGGGAACAGATGCCGTTTGCCCCGAGGGCTCTTTCCTTGCCGGGAGGCTGAGCCCCACGCAGAGCAGCAACTTGCATTGTTTCACTTTCCCACAGACGGGATGAGGAAGGATTAGTCCCAGGATGCAGCGAGCTGCAGTGTCACAGGGACACGTCCTCCTTTGTCACAACATTGAGTCCAGCATCTGTCTGGGGCGGCCACAGCTGCGTGTCCGGGACACGACAGTGATGTAGCCATGCAAACAGCGTGACATCACTTGGAACCTGTTCCTTGTCAGCTGGCCGTGCGACAGCTATAAACCCCGCTGCCTCCTGCGTCTGCCTAGAGCTTGGCCACAGCTTTCTTTCCACGTGGGTCTTTCCACAGGTGGCCCAGGTGGCCCCCGAGCATGGCAGCCGGGTTCCCAGAGTGAGTGTCCCCAGAGACAAGAGGTGGAAGCTGTCGGGCTGGGCCCAGAGCTGGCCTGGCATCACTCCTGCCAAATCCAATGGACATAGACCACCCCGTTGATGGCAGGAGTGTCAAAGAATCAGGGCACACATTTCAAACCCCTACAGTGTTCCTAAATGTGGGGATGGGATCATCTCGTCCTTGGTGCGAGGGCTGAGAATGGGTGGCAAGGTGGCTCCCCCAAAGCAAAATCAGACACCAGAGGTAGGAGCAAAGGTAGCGAACGTCCGAGATGAGGCAGAAGAGGTGCGGGGAGCAAAGGGCCTGCAGGAGCCACCACCCCACCAGGCCCAGAGAAGGCAGCACATTCTAGGATGGCTCAGAGGCGGCCCCAGGGCTCCCAGGGCCTGGCCATTCTGTGGGATCCTGTCCGCGTGGGGCCCGGTGCACCAGGCGGCAAAGGCTCACCCAGCACCTGCGGGGCGCCAGCCGGGCTCTGCCGCAGAGACGACGGCCTCTGGTCTCCCGAGCTCATTCTTCCTTCAGCCTGTTCCGAACCAGCCCCGCGGTGCTCCGGGCCCCAGGCCCTGACGTGACAGTGGGAGGCAGGACTGTTGCAGACGTGGACGCTCAGTTCAGTGGTCTGGTCCGAATCCTGTTCCACGCTTTGCTGTGCGTCCATCTCTGCACCTCAGTGTCCTCGTCCTCAAAATGGGGCAATAATGTCCCTTCCTTAGAAGGTTGATGTGATGATTAAACGAATTAATAATTATAAAGCACTTTCAATAGCGCCTGGCAGGAAAGTGCTACGCAAGTGTTTGTTAAATAGAAACTGATGACTAAGTCAAGGTATTTGTCGCTGGTGTCAATGATCTGTGTTCACAAATTGTCCCAGACTCTGAGTGCTGCGGTCCGCGTCACACTCGGCCCGGGGAAGGTGACGTTGGAACCCTGGGCAGGGCACCGTTGGTGGAGCCTGCAAAGCTGACCCTGATGATCTGTTTTACTCGTTTTACGAGGTGCCTACTATGTGCCGGGGGACGTCCCAGTCCCTCGTGTGCCGCTGACAACCAGGGTGAGGCGTCTTAATTGGCTTTAAATATAGCTGCCCCCTCCCCGAGCCACTTAACAGCCTGGGGTAACGAGCTCTCCCCATCTCAGTGTTTGTTTAATGCTTTATTCGTGGTCACGAAACAGCGGTGACATTAATTTCAGGGGAACTTTTAATGATGTATGTGTTTGGTGAAGGTCCCAGCTCCTGACCCTTAGGTGACAGATCTGTTTGGTGCCATGTGAGATGTTTTGCGTCACTTGCAAGAAAGAAAAAAGAGGTGCTGTTTTTCCTCAGGAAAAGAAGAGGCATTTTACAGCTGAACTTTGTTCTGCTGTGGAACGTTTGTCAAAGACTGCAGGAGGAAAACGTGGAAATTTCCAGCAGTTCTCCTTTGAGGATTTGGACTTCTTACACCCAGAACCATAATGCTATTCCTCTGTTTGCTAATCTGTTCACCAATCCACTCATCCACCCACCCATCCGTCTACTCATCCACACCCGTATCCAGCCATTCACCGTTCATCCACCAATCTGCCCATCCACCCACCCATGCACTCAACCATTCATTCTTCTAGCCACCCATCCACACCTCCATCCACCTAGCCACTCATCCGCCCATCCACTCATCCACCTACTATCCACCCACCCTTCTACCATCCAGCCACCCATCTACCCATCCACCCATCCCCTCGACCACCCGGTCACCATCCACTCATCCCCCCACCCACACTTCCATCCAGCTAGCCACCCACGAACCCACCCATTCATTCTTCTTTCCATCCACACACCTACACATTCACCCACCCACCCACTGATGTACCACCTGCCCATGCACCCATCCACCTACCTATCCATCCACCCTCCCACGGATGGTGGGATGCATTGCATTTATCCGCACGCCCATGCACCTCCTGTCCACCCACACACTTACTCAGTGGCCTGCTAATGTGGCACACACTACGGGAGGTATAAAGGAGAGATGAAGTTTCTCCCCTTAAGGAGCTCACAGTTTAGCAGGGCTCATAAGATGCGAACCCAAGTGGTTG